ATCAATAAAAACACTATAACTAATTGGTAGGTCTACATTTACTTGTTACTTCTGTGAACTTTCATTATCCTCCCTCCTCATGTGGGAGAGAAATTAGAAAATATCTTAAAGATATGTGGGGTTTTGGTAACATAATGGCAATACACTACGCAATATTTCTTAAACTTACAAAAGACAAACAATTTCAGCAAAACTAAATATAAATGTTGATATTAGTTGGCAGGGGTCTTTACTTCAACATTATAGTTTTTTTAAATGTATTTCTAATACCTTTTAAGACTTTATCTGATATATGTTTTCTAAGACCCCTTTTCCATCTGTTTGACCAGAAATCAAATCCCAATTTTTAGGATGAAATATTGTTACAAAATGTAAATATCCATTAATTTAAAAAAATATATAGACTCTTAGCTTTCATTTGACTACAAATGTTTTGTGCCACTATGAACCTCATGGGGCTTTTTACAAGGAAATGCCCTCAGGCTACTTTATGAATGTGTAGTTTAGTCAGTATTGTTGATGAACTTGTTGTGGCACATTTTGTGCCACGTTATGATGTTACCTGGGAATAGTAAGACACAGTAACATGAGTAGCCTAAGTATTGCGAATGGCATTACCACATATCTAGTGGTATGTCAAAATGTCACGTGCATGAAGTACTCTGCTCATCTGTTTTAATTATTCATCTTTCCATTGAGTTGACCTGACATTTAATTATTTCCACATTGATCTGTGATCATCAGCAGCAGCAGCCTCACATGCAGGTCAACACACAGGGCTTAATGCTCCTGGGCTTAGCAGGCTTTAGCTGGGTCTCTCACACACACACACACACACACACACACACACACACACACACACACACACACACACATGCACAGACACTCAAACACACGCACACAAACACAATAGTAGCTATAAAGTCAGTCACAACCATGCAAGCACTCTTCTATGTGCATACAGTATATGTGAACTGTCTCACTCCCTCAAATCCTTGGTACGTTCCCTATGTTCTCGGGGTCTCCCAGATTTGGGAAATGTTTGGCACATAGTCTGTGCACACCCTGACCTTTAATTTGTGAACATGCCTGGCTATCCAAACTTTTTGCTCCGGCCAAATGCTACACCACGCTCACAGACAATATTTTATTATCCGCAATGAGTCTGGATCTGAGTACCTCCCCGATGATTTCTAGAACGCAAATACATTCTAACCGTTCTGATTGATCCCAGAAACCGATGGGTCGTCAGGCAAGATTGTGTAAACTGTGCTAAATACACACAGTTATTTAGCACATATCTTCCCCTTACAGTCTTTCTTTTTTTCCAGGATGGACCATGAGCGAATGGGAGACCGGGGTATGGGAGACCGGGGTCTGGGAGACCGGGGTATGGGGGGCATTCACCATGGATATGATGAGGAGGAAGGTAAGTGAAAAAATAAAATAATAATAAATATATATCTATATATATATATATATATATATATATATATATATATATATATAAGAATACTAACATAAAGTAAATGGCTCAGTAGAATAGAATAAACATTTTAGCATAAGTATAATACAGGAAGGCACAATTTATAGTACAATATTTACACGTGTATTGGGGAAGGGGGATTGGGGGGAAAGTGTTTAAATTGTGCAGTATTAGCAATAGTAAATAAATTATTGCATGAACATTCTGAGCAAACAAAGCAAAAATAGCAATAAAAAAGTAGAGAAGGAACCGGCAAGATGCGCTCCCTCCTCAGCGCCGCCATCTTTAGTCACCCCTAAAGCTACAAATGTAGTTTGAGGAGTTAGCAAGGTAACTTTGGTCAACTCTGAGTTCAACTTGGGATAACCGGTACCACGAAAGTGGCTCACCTTTTAGCCAGGTAACTTTCGCTGGCAACGAATCCTTCAGATCTAACCTGCTGGTTAACTCAGGGCTAATGACATTTATCCTGAATGAAGGGTCTGAGCCGTGAGATGAGGACCAATGAAATCAGATTCCCTCCCTCTCGCAAAGATTGCGTCATCATCCACTTTATATTAATCAAATGTGTTTTTGTTTGTTAAAAAATAGGGTCACACTTTATTTGGATAGTCTGGATTATCCATCTGTAGATACTCTACATACAGTGAGGGAAAAAAGTATTTGATCCCCTGCTGATTTTGTAAATTTGCCCACTGACAAAGAAATGATCAGTCTATAATTTTAATGGTAGGTTTATTTGAACAGTGAGAGACAGAATAACAACAAAAGGATCCCAACATTTTTTTATAAATTCATTTGCATTTTAATGAGGGAAATAAGTATTTGACCCCCTCTCAATAAGAAAGATTTCTGGCTCCCAGGTGTCTTTTATACAGGTAACGAGCTGAGATTAGAAACACACTCTTAAAGGGAGTGCTCCTAATCTCAGTTTGGTACCTGTATAAAAGACACCTGTCCACAGAAGCAATCAATCAATCAGATTCCAAACTCTCCACCATGGCCAAGACCAAAGCGCTCTCCAAGGATGTCAGGGACAAGATTGTAGACCTACACAAGGCTGGAATGGGCTACAAGACCATCGCCAAGCAGCTTGGTGAGAAGGTGACAACAGATTATTCATTAATGGAAGAAACACAAAAGAACTGTCAATCTCCCTCGGCCTGGGGCTCCATGCAAGATCTCACCTCGTGGAGTTGCAATGTTCATGAGAATGGTGAGGAATCAGCTCAGAACTACACGGGAGGATCTTGTCAATGATCTCAAGGCAGCTGGGACCATAATCACCAAGAAAACAATTGGTAACACACTACGCCGTGAAGGACTGAAATCCTGCAGCACCCGCAAGGTCCCCCTGCTCAAGAAAGCACATATACAGGCCCGTCTGAAGTTTGCTAATGAACATCTGAATGATTCAGAGGAGAACTGGGTGAAAGTGTTGTGGTCAGATGAGACCAAAATCGAGCTCTTTGGCATCATCTCAACTCGCCGTGTTTGGAGGAGGAGGAATGCTGCCTATGACCCCAAGAACACCATCCCCACCTTCAAACATGGAGGTGGAAACATTATGCGTTGGTGGTGTTTTTCTGCTAAGGGGACAGGACAACTTCACTGCATCAAAGGGACGATGGACGGGGCCATGTACCGTCAAATCTTGGGTGAGAACCTCCTTCTCTCAGCCAGGGCATTGAAAATGGGTCGTGGATGGGTATTCCAGCATGACAATGACCCAAAACACACGGCCAAGGCAACAAAGGAGTGGCTCAAGAAGAAGCACATTAAGGTCCTGGAGTGGCCTAGCCAGTCTCCAGACCTTAATCCCATAGAAAATCTGTGGAGGGAGCTGAAGGTTCAAGTTGCCAAACGTCAGCCTCGAAACCTTAATGACTTGGAGAAGATCTGCAAAGAGGAGTGGGACAAAATCCCTCCTGAGATGTGTGCAAACCTGGTGGCCAACTACAAGAAACGTCTGACCTCTGTGATTGCCAACAAGGGTTTTGCCACCAAGTACTAAGTCATGTTTTGCAGAGGGGTCAAATACTTATTTCCCTCATTAAAATGCAAATCAATATATAACATTTTTGACATGCGTTTTTCTGGATTTTGTTGTTGTTATTCTGTCTCTCACTGTTCAAATAAACCTAACATTCAAATTATAGACTGATCATGTCTTTGTCAGTGGGCAAACTTACAAAATCAGCAGGGGATAAAATACTTTTTTCCCTCACTGTATTGGTCATACTATCAACAAACTATCTGTTGATAAGCAACTGCTTGCTAAGGTTAGGGTTAGGGTTAGGTTTAGAATAAAGGTTAGGGTTAGGGATAGAGCTAGGGTTAGGGTTAGTAGTTAGTTAGTTGATATGTTACTGATGGATTATCCAAATAAAGGATTACCAAAAACAGTCATGTTAAAATAACTATCACATTATACATTTACTAATGACAAAATCATTTGAAACTTCACACACAGTAAAACTTTTGTATGACTTAATACAATTATTTTATTGATAGGAGTGAGAAAAAAAGTATTTTACACCAAAGTAATAAAGTAAAGTCTATCGTCTTTCACGCCATAGCCTGCTGAATTTGCAAGATAACTTTTCTTTCATTTTGATTTCGGCACAAATGAAAATATGACACTAACTTGCCCATGGATTGTTCTTTCAGCATTGTCTCAATGAAGAGTTTGGCGTTTGACTAGTCACGTGCGACATGCACGCGCAGTTACAAGCCTGCTAGAGTTAGCGGCAGGCAGATGAGCAGTACCCACCGTCATAGTACGGATGAAGCCTGAGCTAGAATGGGAAGCTAACTGAAGCTGGATAACTTTAGAAAACCCTGAGTAGATCTATAGTATACCCCTCAGGCCTCGCATGCTAGGTTCATTTTTGGGGGGTCCTTTCGGCAAACAGCCTATCATTCAATTATTGGTTTAGAACAATGTTCTAATTGACAATAGTGTTTTAATGTAGTTGTTGCCTAAAATGAACTTGATCACGCACTGATATTCAAAAAGGAGCCCATTGCAAAGTGACAGTACAGTTGGTATCAAAGTAATATAAAACAACACAAAACTTGACATGGTTCCTGCTGTTAATAGCTGACAGGGAACATGACAAAGTATTTCATGTAGGAAAAGACAATGTGCAGAAGAAGAGTAATCTTTTACATGCAAATCATTAATAAGAATGCATTTTCTTTGTCATTCAATCATGACATAAATACTTGAGAATGGTTTATTTATTAGCGAAACAGACATGAACACTGTATAATAATTTATTCATTGTTTGTTTCAATGATTGAACACTCATGGAAATGTTCATTTGTGTACCAAGGACTAATGAGTGATGTGATATGAATCAGTCATTATGTTTGTCTGTCAAGGTTGTTGCTTGGCTTTTCTAGGTACTGTATAACTATTATTAAGCCCAGTTTTATATATTTTATTATGATGTTCTGTTTCTGTAGTACATGTTTTGCAGTACATTCTCCTCAATGACTGATTTAAATAATGTATGTTAATGTGACTTTACATTACCGTTTGTCTACAGACCAGCAGAACATCTACATCGGTGTCCCGGTGCCTCGTGGGTACAGACGGAAACGCCGGCGAAGACGTTCTGCGGGGGGCCGTGAGGTAGCGGACAAGGAGAGGGGGGACAGACACTACGACCACCACAGACACCATGACCATGAGCATGACGACAGAGACAGATACAGAGACCTAGAGGAGGGACTCATGGACCCACATGACCTTCAAGTCCCTCAAGACATCAACCGCACAAGTGAGTCATGATCTGCGTGACGAATGGCACCCTATTCACTATATAGTGCACTACCAGGGATTCAATCACATCACACTCCAGTGCTTATGCACTACAACAACCAATTATGTAAATGTACACTACCAGTCAAAAGTTTGGACACACCTACTCATTCAATTTTTTGGGTTGATACAAAATAAATAATACAATATAGAATAATAGTGAAGACATCAAAACTATGAAATAACACATATGGAATCATGTTGTAACCAAAAGAAGTGTTATACAAATCAAAATATATATTTTATATTTGAGATTCTTCAAATAGCCACCCTTTGCCATGACGACAGCTTTGCACACTCTTGGCGTTCTCTCAACCAGATTCATGAGGTAGTCACCTTGAATGCATTTCAATTAACAGGTGTGCCTTCTTAAAAGTTAATTTGTGGAATTTCTTTCCTTCTTAATGCGTTTGAATCAATCAGTTGTGTTCTGACAAGGTAGAGGGTAAAATACTAAGTCCATATTATGGCAAGAACAGCTCAAATCAGCAAAGAGAAACGACAGTCCATCATTACTTTAAGACATGAAGGTCAGTCAATAAGTTTCTTCAAGTGCAGTCGCAAAAACCATCAAAAACCAATCATGAGGACCGCCACAGGAATGGAAGACCCAGAGTTACCTCTGCTGCAGAGGATAGGTTCATTAGAGTTACCAGCCTCAGAAATTGCAGCCCAAATAAATGCTTCACAGAGTTAAAGTAACAGACACATCTCAACATCAACTGTTCAGAGGGGACTGTGTGAATCAGGCCTTCATGGTTGAATTGCTGCAAAGAAACCATTACTAAAGGACACCAATAAGAAGAAGAGACCTGCTTGGGCCAAGAAACACGAGCAATGGGCATTAGACCGGTGGAAATTTGTCCTTTGGTTTGGAGTCCAAATTTGCGATTTTTGGTTCAAACCGTCATGTCTTTGTGAGACTCGGTGTGGGTGAATGGATGATCTCCGCATGTGTAGTTCCCACTGTAAAGCATGGAGGAGGAGGTGTTATGGTGTGGGGGTGCTTTGCTGGTGACACTGTCTGTGATTTATTTAGAATTCAAGGCACACTTAACCAGCATGGCTACCACAGCATTCTGCAGCGATACACCATCCCATCTGGTTTGGGCTTAGCGGGACTATCATTTGTTTTTCAACAGGACAATGACCCAACACACCTCCAGGCTGTGTAAGGGCTATTTTACCAAGAAGGAGAGTGATGGTGTGCTGCATCAGATGACCTGGCCTCCACAATCCCCCGACCTCAACCCAATTGAGATGGTTTGGGATGAGTCGTACGGCAGAGTGAAGGAAAAGCTTCCAACAGGTGCTCATCATATGTGGGAACTCCTTCAAGACTGTTGGAAAAGCGTTCAAGGTGACTACCTCATGAAGCTGGTTGAGAGAATGCCAAGAGTGTGCAAATCTGTCATCAAGGCAAAGGGTGGCTACTTTGAAGAATCTAACATCTAAAATATATTTTGATTTGTTTAACACTTTTTTGGTTACTACATGATTCTATATGTGTTATTTCATAGTTTTGATGTCTTCACGGTTATTCTACAATGTAGAAAATAGTAAAAATAAAGAAAAACCCTTGAATGAGTAGGTGTGCCCAAACTTTTGACTGGTACTGTATATTAAATTAAGCTGACTTTGCTGTACAACATGACAGTAGCCTACTTTGTTCTGCCTACTCATCGTACCTAAAAAAGTTGTTAAATGAGACCTCAAACTTCTCAACCTTGTCCAATGCAAGCGGATAGAGAACAGAGCATTCCTCTACACAGTACATTGACCATAGTGGATTGATCTCTCCCTTCCTCCATTGACGGCCATGTACAATAGACCATGGATGATTTGAACTCATTGGGGAAAACCTATTTCCAATGATTTTTCCTCTGCTGAATATTTTTTTGCCCAGTAGTTTTCATGTTTTCTACATTGGGAAAAAGTAATATACTCTGTATCGTTCACATATATTGTCTTTCCCCATAGAAATATAATCACTATGATGATGTGGTTCTATTTCTATTGTCCTTCCCCATAGGCTGACAAGTGAGGTCTTTGTGGATACTAATGTATGCAAACAGGCAATATAATAGGAATTCACTCCAGGGTTGGTTCCTGTCGATACAATGATTTAAAGCCATTGATCCATCATGGCATTTTACAGCTCAGTGTGTAATTCATAGAAGGCTCTGGTTCCATCCATAGGTTAGGTTAGAACACTGTGACCACCAGCTGCAGTGCAAAGCTCCCTTCCCCCAGCTAACTACAACCCACATATGGAATCTGTCCCAAATGGCACCCTGTTCCCTATTTAGTGCACTATTCTTGACCATAACCCATAGGACTCAGGTCAAAAGTAGTACACAATATAGGAAAAAGAGTGCCATTTGGGACAAAAACATGGACATCTACACTACCAGTCAAAGGTTTGGACACACCTACTCATTCAAGGGTTTTTCTTAATTTTTACTATTTTTTACATTGTAGAATAATAGTGAAGACATCAAAACTATCAAATAACACATATGGGGGGGGGGGGGGGTATACAGAAGGTAGCCCTATTTGGTAAAAGACCAAGTCCATATGATGGCGAGAACAGCTCAAATAAGCAAAGAGAAACGACAGTCCATCATTACTTTAAGACATGAAGGTCAGTCAATACTGAACATTTCAAGAACTTTTAAAGTTTCTTCAAGTGCTGTCGCAAAAACCATAAAGCGCTATGATTAAACTGGCTCTCATGAGGATTGCCACAGGAATGGAAGATCCAGAGTTACCTCTGCTGCAGAGGATAGGTTCATTAGAGTTACCAGCCTCAGAAATTGCACGCCAAATAAATGCTTCACAGAGTTCAAGACACATCTCAACATCAACTGTTCAGAGGGGGATTGTGTGAATCCGAGGGGGATTGTGTGAATCAAGAAACCACCACTAAAGGACACCAATAATAAGAAGAGACCTGCTTGGGCCAAGAAACATGAGCAATGGACATTAGACCGGTGGAAATGTGTCCTTTGGTCTGGAGTCCAAATTTGAGATTTTTGGTTCAAACCGCCATGTCTTTGTGAGACACGGTGTGCGTGAACGGATGCTATCCGCATGTGTAGTTCCCACCGTAAAGCATGGAGGAGGAGCTGTTATGGTGTGGGAGTGCTTTGCTGGTGACACTGTCTGTGATTTATTTAGAATTCAAGGCACACTTAACCAGCATGGCTACCACAGCATTCTGCAGCGATACGCCATCCCATCTGGTTTGGGCTTAGTGGGACTATCATTTGTTTTTCAACAGGACAATGACCCAACACACCTCCAGGCTGTGTAAGGGCTATTTTACCAAGAAGGAGAGTGATGGAGTGCTGCATCAGATGACCTGGCCTCCACAATCCCAATTGAGATGGTTTGGAATGAGTCAGCATATGTGGGAATTCCTTCAAGACTGTTGGAAAAGCATTCCAGGTGAAGCTGGTTGAGAGAATGCCAATAGTGTGCAAAGCTCTCATCAAGGCAAAGGAGGGCTATTTGTTTAACACTTTTTTGGTTACTACCTGATTCCATATGTGTTTTTTCATAGTTTTGATGTCTTCACTATTATTCTACAATGTAAAAAATAGTAAAAATAAAGAAAAATGTCCAAACTTTTGACTGGCACTGTATGTCAATCTTCATGTAAATGTCAGAGAATGAAAGGGATTGTTTGTACAGTACGCAAGTGATTTATTATCATTAAGCCAATAAGCTGTAACTTCTCTATTATCATAGAAAACAGAGTCTAATACTAAGGCAACGTATTGATCTGGTGGTGAACTGTAGATTTGAACACGATAAAGAGTGATTTTGTTGATTGTTTCAGTAGGGGAGAGTGGGGTAAGTTGAGCTAAAAGGTTAGTTGAGCCACCCCTTGTTTCTAGGAAACCATACACAAAATTAATCATGTGACCAAATATTTAGGAAGAGTTTCATGGAGTCTGTGAAGGAAGAAACCACATGGAAAAGTTGGTAAGCAAGTTAGGTCCGAAAAACTGATTTTCAAATGAATTTATTGTGTTATAGGTTTTATGATGCTTGTATCTAAACCTAGGAAGATAGTTTTACGATTTTTATACATTACATTTTAGTCATTTAGCAGACACTCTTATCCAGAGCGACTTACAGTTAGTGAGTGCATACATTACTTATTTTTTATTTTAAAAAAATCATACTGGCCCCCCGTGGCAATCGAACCCACAACCCTGGCATTGCAAACGCCAGGCTCTACCAACTGAGCTACATCCCTGCCGGCCATTCCCTCCCCTACCCTGGACAAATTGTGCGGTCTCCTGGTCGCAGCCGGCTACGACAGAGCCTGGATACAAACCAGGATCTCTAGTGGCACAGCTAGCACTGCGATGCAGTGCCTTAGACCACTGCGCCACTCGGGAGTCTACATCAGTTGGGGGTCTCTATAAGCTACAATATGAGGTCCTAAACCTAGAATGAAAGTGCATCCTTGTATCTGTGTGGGCTAATATAGTCAACATTTTTGACTTGGGGTAGGTTGAGGCAATGGCCACCATACATATCCCTGTTAGGTTCTAACTCATGGTACAAATCTAGTTGGACTACAAAATAAGCTGCAAAAGCACCCATACAATTCACACAAGCATACAGTGAGGGAAAACAGTATTTGATCCCCTGCTGATTTTGTACGTTTGCCCACTGACAAAGATTTTAATGGTAGGTTTATTTTAACAGTGAGAGACAGAATAACAAAACAAAAAAATCCAGAAAAACGCATGTCAAAAATGTTATAAATTGATTTGCATTTTAATGAGGGAAATAAGTATTTGACCCCTCTGCAAAACATGACTTAGTACTTGGTGGCAAAACTCTTGTTGGCAATCACAGAGGTCAGACGTTTCTTGTAGTTGGCCACCAGGTTTGCATTTGGCCCACTCCTCTTTGCAGATCTTCTCCAAGTCATTAAGGTTTCGAGGCTGACGTTTGGCAACTTGAACCTTCAGCTCCCTGACAGCTCCCACTGACAAAGACATGCGTTTTTCTGGATTTGTTTGTTGTTATTCTGTCTCTCACTGTTCAAATAAACCTACCATAAAAATTATAGACTGATCATGTCTTTGTCAGTGGGCAAACGTACAAAATCAGTAGGGGATCTAATACTTTTTTCCCTCACTGTATATTTAAACCTTTTGATTAGGCGGAGTCACCTCCTTGTATTTCTAGGACAAACAGTCGGTCTCTGTTACTGGGCAACAACTGAGTCTGTTCCTCCTATTGGTGTTGTTGTGGCCCATTCTGAGTCCAGAATTTCAGTCAGATAGTCTCCAACACCCCAATCAAACGATGATTACATTTAGTCAGTTTTATACATAAATGCATCGTATTTTTAAAATGTGTCATGCATATGAACTCAAGATAGTGCATTTTTATTGTTACAGAGCAGAGATCATCATGCCCCGTGTATACAAACATAAAACAAGCACGGGTCTAGCCCCCCCTTGAGGTTGTTGAGAGAGCAGCTAAAGAAGTGAGAGAAGGGAAGAAGTCTATTAGAGTGCCAACAACTAGCAAGGGAGGAAAAAATCGACTGATTGACACTAAAGAGGTACAGTTACAAAATTGTTTAACAAAGATGTACCTGTGTGAAAGAGAGGCTGTGACAGAGTAGCAGAGGACCACAAGGTCTTATCTGATGACATGGAGTCTGAGCTTGCTAAACAAATCAAGAATCTTGCTGACCAGTTTCATGGGCTTAGTGGCCTCAAATGCAGAGAACTTGCCAATGAATTGGCACATCGAAACATCCCTGTCCCAGACAACTGGTCAAGAAATGGAAGGGTAAGTGATATTAAAAAGAGAGATCTATATCTGAATGTAGGCATACATTTAAGATAATATATCACCCCCCCCCCCCCCATTCCATGAATTAAACCTTGACCTACCAGCACCATCACCCACTGTCACAGGACACCATCACCTATTTACCTGAAGGCGGCTCAACTTACCCTGTCCCTATGCTCAATTTACCTCATACCCGGGGTAAGTTGTGCAAAGAGATCACTTTTTTTGGACAAGCTATGTTGTTATTTTTACATGAATTCTGGTTATTTCCAGGGATACACAACATCCTGAATTATAAATATCTTTGTTAGAAAAAATACTATATTTCCCTTGACGTAGTGATGATGAATGTATAAAATGTCTCAACATACCCCATTCTCCCCTATATTGAGTTTGTAATATGTCAAGTCAGGTCGCTGAGTTAGCCTAAGCATTGACCGTTTGGTGTAGAGACCAAACCCTCTGGTTATGGGTGTTCCTGTTGGATTGATAGAAATGCTGCCAAGCTCAAGATCAGATCATTACCATTTAAGTGGAATGTAAAGGGAAAGACAAGTTTATCACTTTTTGATCCAATGTATCGGCAAACCATCCATAAATAATAACGTGTGTGAGGAATTATAACAACAACCCAGTAAAATTCTAATATTCAGCTTGACCTTTTCAATATTAGAAAATGTGATCATCACTGTCTACTGTTACACCATTTCTTGAAACTCCCTGTATAATAAGTGGGCACACTGGGAAGAGATTAAGCATGTTTAGATTTCTGATCCATAAAAGTACAAATAAATACAAAATCTCCAGAGTAAATATGAGTCTGACAAGCAGTGATGATATCTGACGTGTGTGTACGTGTGTGTCTTCATCCCAGTGTCCCCTGCAGCGGAGCGGCTCCGCTACATCCTGGGAGAGGACGATGACATGCCCACCCCCACACTGTTCACTGAGATGGACACGCTGCAGCAGGACGGGGATGAGCTGGAGTGGAAAGAGTCTGCTAGGTGACTGCTGACCCAAAGTTTACTCACACAGAACTACAGAATCATAACAGATTACACACACAGATCTATAGAATAATAACAGATTACACACACAGACATACAGAATCATAACAGATTACACACACAGACCTATGGAATCATAACAGATTACACACACAGACCTATGGAATCATAACAGATTACACACACACAGACCTATGGAATCATAACAGATTACACACACAGACCTATGGAATCCTAACATATTACACACACAGACATACAGAATCATAACAGATACAAACAGACTATGGATCTACATACACACAGACCTATGGAATCATAACAGATTACACACACAGACCTATGGAATCATAACAGATTACACACACAGACCATGAATCATAACAGATTACACACACAGACCTATGGAATCATAACAGATTACACACACAGACCTATGGAATCATAACAGATCACACACACAGACCTACAGAATCATAACATATTACACACACAGACATACAGAATCATAACAGATTACACACACAGACATACAGAATCATAACAGATTACACACACATACATACAGAATCATAACAGATTACACACACATACATACAGAATCATAACAGATCACACACAGAGACCTATAGAATCATAACAGATTACACACACAGACCTACAAAATCATAACAGGTTACACACACAGACCTATAGAATCATAACAGATCACACACACAGACCTATAGAATCATAACATATTACACACACAGACCTATAGAATCATAACAGATTACACACACAGACATACAGAATCATAACTGATCACACACACAGACCTATAGAATCATAACAGATCACACACACATGCCTACAAAATCATAACAGGTTACACACACAGACCTATAGAATCATAACAGAAACATACAGTAGAAGCCAGCCAATGTCAAATATGTCAAGTTCATGCCAAGAAGTTGACAGTCTATGTTATCAACTTCTGAGTCACCTGTAGTATAGGCTAATTTATATTTTAACTTGTGCATGGTGATACCATAAATACATGCCATAGAACAAATTGTCCCACTCCTTCAGCATGGACGGATGTCATTCTAGAACCCACCAATTTTGTCATGCATTTCATGTTTTATTATGTCATGCAGGATGAATGAATGTCTGAGCTACTGAATGTCTGAGGTACTGAATGTCTGAGCTACTGAATGTCTGAGCTACTGAATGTCTGAGCTACTGAATGTCTGAGCCACTCAATGTCTGAGCTACTGAATGTCTGAGCCACTGAATGTCTGAGCTACTGAATGTCTGAGCTACTGAATGTCTGAGCCACTGAATGTCTGAGCTACTGAATGTCTGAGCCACTGAATGTATGAGCCACTGAATGTCTGAGCTACTGAATGTCTCAGCTACTGAATGTCTGAGCCACTGAATGTCTGAGCCACTGAATGTCTGAGCTACTGAATGTCTGAGCCACTGAATGTCTGAGCTACTGAATGTCTGAGCCACTGAATGTCTGAGCTACTGAATGTCTGAGCCACTGAATGTCTGAGCCACTGAATGTCTGAGGTACTGAATATCTGAGCTACTAAATGTCTGAGCTACTGAATGTCTGAGGTACTGAATGTCTGAGCTACTGAATGTCTGAGCTACTGAATGTCTGAGGTACTGAATGTCTGAGCTACTGAATGTCTGAGCTACTGAATGTCTGAGCTACTGAATGTCTGAGCCACTGAATGTCTGAGCTACTGAATGTCTGAGGTACTGAATGTCTGAGCTACTGAATGTCTGAGCTACTGAATGTCTGAGTGTTAGTGCGTGTCATTCCCAAGACAAGCAGTCAGTGTTGACCTTAGTCATTTTTCCCTTCCAACTCATTTGACGCCTCCAACTCATGTCATCTATCTGTCCCTGTGTTGTGGTCCAGGTGGGTGAAGTTTGAGGAGAAGGTGGAGGAGGGAGGAGAGAGGTGGAGCAAGCCCCATGTGTCCACCCTGTCCCTGCACAGTCTGTTTGAACTGAGGACCTGTCTACAGACCGGCACTGTGCTGCTGGATCTGGAGGGATACTCACTGCCACAGATAGTTGGTGAGCAACACAAACTCCCTTTTACAGAGCACTAATGCATGCCAAATCAGGCTTGTGTGATTCTTAACTAATGTTAAGAGATAGTACTGTAAACAATGTCAAGTCTCTGTCACAATTGACAAGCAGAGGCATTTCAGCATATTTAGCCCTTCTAAGAACAGTTAGCCTAATGTGTACAGATGTAGGATCTTAATTCGATCACCCTATTGCATGAGAACTTTCCTGCAATGCAGGAAATGTAAAATTGTAGTGTATTTGAGGTTTAAAAAGGCTTAAATTTTAGACTTGATTTTCCCTTACAACATTTTTTATAAACCTCTACAAAAATGTCCATGAATTATAATCTACATAATAATTTACATTTGTCCTGTTGCTGCAGGATTATTTTCCTGCTGTAGCAAACTGGCTCAAATGAAGATGCTAGTAGCCTTCAGTTGTTGACAAGAAAGGTGTTATGGTACCAAGAAGGAAATTAATTGGTGGTCGTGAGTGATATTACACAAACAGTAATAAGACCACATTCTCCTCCAGATGAAATCATCGAGCAGCAGGTAGACGAGGGCATGCTATCTCCTGACCTGAGAGAGAAGATCAGCTTTGTCCTCCTGAGGAAGCACAGGCACCAGACCAAAAAGCCCATCCACCGCTCTCTGGCTGACATGGGCAAGGCCAGCGGTGGTGGTGCCCGTGAGTGTCCCTCTGCTCTCTGGTCAAGTATAGCCGTCATTAGCCTTATACACATTATAGTACTTCCTAAATGGTGGTGGTCCTCTGTAGCTCAGCTGGTAGAGCACGGCGCTTGTAACGCCAAGGTAGTGGGTTCGATCCCCGGGACCACCCATACACAAAAAAAATGTATGCATGCATGACTGTAAGTCGCTTTGGATAAAAGCGTCTGCTAAATGGCATATTATTATTATTATTATTATTAAATGTTACATTTGTAGCCTACTTATATACATTAAAACATCAAATTTGATGCCCACTACCTAGGCTGTCTTACACTTTCATTAATTGCAATTGACCACACAGGTTTTCATGCAGTAATTTATTCAATTCAATTCTATAAACGTTATTTATCCCCAAGGGGAAATTATAATCTTGTTCAACAGTTTCCTGTTTCTTTACTTGTATTTCCTCCTCAGCCCGTAGTCCAGGTGCAGCGGCCGCATTCAACCGCTCCACAGAAGACCTCCGCATGAAATCACAGCCAGGAGGCTATGGTCGTCTGCGTGAGTCTCTCTCTCTCTCTGTACCTCTTACTGCTTTCATCATCTCTCTAGAACCTGTTTGTCTCTATCTCTCTCTTCCTTTGACTTCTTGTATCTCTTCTAAATATCCAATTATTTCCCTCTCTCTTTTCAGATGTGTTCAAAGCTCTAGAATAATAGACAATATAATGTAATAATACATAGTACACTAGAAAATATTTCATCGTCTTCATGGCATGAACTCATTTCATTTGAAGAAGAAAAAACTCAATTGATTTGCACATTTTTCATTGATAATTAGAACCCTCTCCATATTCTAAGCATTGATATGATCAATTGTTTACATGTACTGTGTTGTTTTACAGGTCATGCCCAAAGTAGGAGCATGAACGACATTTCAGACACTCCGAGCACAGACCAGGTGACACACTGATACTACATTACAACTCAGCAGGCTCAATTCAATCAAACATTATCCTTGCACAGAGAAAGTACAGGTTTTACTGAATTATTGTCATAATATAATGTCGATTTTTTAACCTAGGTTAATCTAGGTTAGTTACATCATTTAAAATGTGCATGTTCTCTATGCAGGGATAATGTTCGTTTTCCGCACAGCTGTTTGATTGAATTTCAACCAGAGTAATAATAATAATAATAATAGTGTTTTATTATGCAGGGTGTTTGTAATGCAGGAATTACTATGACTTATTTTGCAATGGCAAAACGTGTTGAGTGTGTGTATGCGTATACACTGAGTACACAAAACATTAAGAACACCTGCTCTTTCCATGACATAGACAGACCAGGTGAATCCAGGTGAAAGCCACGATCCCTTATTGATGTTACTTGTTAAATCCACTTCAATCAGTGTAGATGAAGGGAAGGAGACAGGTTAAAGAAGGATTTTCATGCCTTCAGACAATTGAGACATGGATTGTGTATGTGTGCCATTCAGAGGGTGTATGGGCAAGACAAAAGATTTAAGTGTCTTTGAACAGGGTATGGTAGTAGGTGCCAGGCGCACCGGTTTGTGTCAAGAACCGCAATGCTGCTGGGTTTTTCACTCTCAACAGTTTCCCGTGTGTATCAAGAATAGTCCACCACCCAAAGGACATCCAGCCAACTTGACACATCTGTGGGAAGCATTGGAGTCAACATGGGCCAGCATCCCTGTGGAACGCTTTCGACACCTTGAAGAGTCCATGCCCGGATGAATTGAGGCTCTTCTGAGGGCAAAAGAGGGGGGTGCAATTCAATATTAGGAAGGTGTTCCTAATGTTTGCTATACTGAGTGTATATGTGTGTTTATGCATGCCATATACTGTATTAAATATCAGTTTAACCGGTAATCTAATGTTACCTTCTGTACATATGCTGTAGAGCAGGGTTTCCCAAACTCAGTCCTGGGGCCCCCCTGGGTGCACGTTTTGGTTTTTGCCCTAGCACTACACAGCTGATTCAAATAACCAACTCATCATCAAACTTTGATTATTTGAATCAGTTGTGTAGTGCTAGGGCAAAAAACTAATTGTGCACCCAGGGGGGGCCCCAGGACCAAGTTTGGGAAACCCTGCTGTAGAGGATTTGTATTGCAGTTGTATTTCATTGTTGCCATGGGAGCCCGATGGGAACCAGTGTTGTTAATTAAATCTTGGATTGTGTTTGTTTTAGTGTTGGTGTCACAGAGCTGTCTGGGGAGCAGGCGGGCTCACAATTCAGTGTTGTCTAAGGATGATTTAACAGTAGCATTTAAACCCAGTGAGAAATACAGCCCCTCCGTGAACACAGGAGACTTCCATTGTAAGAAGGGTTGTAATGCTGTGAATGATGGAGGATGGGTCAGGTGTATTGTGCTGAGCATTGGGTTGAAACAGTTGCCTCTTTGCCAAGTTTATGCCCAAATAATTGTCTTGAGATAATGTGCTGGACAAATATGCCATGTTTAACTCAGTAGACATGTCAATGAATAAATCTCTGGGTACTTGACTGTTCCTGCATCTGTTTGGCTAGCGTAAAGCAGATCCAGGCTGGCTTCCAGGCTATCCCAATCTTCGTAAACTGCCATCACTGATTAGTCTATGGTTGAGTGGTTTTTACTTAACGTAGTCGTAGGGGCATGTTTGAATACACAGTAGGTCACGTGCCAGTTTGCTAGTGATAGCCTAGTTAGGGTGTGTGTGTCGTGTGTGTCGCTGGCAATGTCCTCGATAGCTGAGCTGAGCTAGCCCGTGACTGTGCTAGGTTTGTCTGGGTCAGTATTGAGCTGCCATTGGGAAAACGTGCTTCTCTGTGTCTCATCCTCGTGCCTCTGCTGCCTCACATGTAGAGACTGGGATTGGCATTGGGATTGTACATTCATATCGGGTGTGATCGTTAGTATCTCATTTGCAGCCCACCTTTGCATGCGATCGGTCAATTCAGGTTATAAGGCCACATTTCTTTCACACAGTCAAGCCCCAGGCTCCATTGGATTTAATATATTTTTTTTACATTCACTAGAATTGCTTTAAATGTTATGCTCAGAGACTAGTTTATTTTATCCAGCAAAAACATATGCTGCCAGAACAGCAGTGCGGTGAAATGGAATGATGTTCTTCAAACAGATCAGTGAGTGGATAGATGAAAGCCCAAAGGCATTGTTAGAACACAATGACAACGTCATGCAGGAGAAAACTATTATATGCACATATTTAATGTTTTCACTGTCAGAATTTAATAATTTATTAGTGTCATATTGCAATATTTATGTACGTATATGAAAAAAATACTTCAAACTTGAACTTGAAAATATGATGACATTTCATCTAAAAATGTTCTTGTCAGTTATGCTGACAAGAAATCCAGTGTCCAATACCATATATGCCCTGATGTATCAACTCTCTCTGACTCTGTGCTTTTTACCCCTCCCTCCCTCCTTCCCTCCCTCCATAGCTAAGGAATAAGTTCATGAAAAAGATCCCTAGAGATGCTGAGGCATCTAATGTTCTGGTGGGTGAAGTGGACTTCCTGGATAAGCCCTTTGTAGCCTTTGTCCGCCTGGCCCAGGCCACCACTCTGGGAGGACTGACAGAGGTTCCTGTGCCCACCAGGTAATGAGTTGCCTGCCTGTCTGTCTGTTGTCTGTTTGCTTGTCTGTCTGTCTGTCTGTTGTCTGTCTGCCTGCCTGCCTGCCTGCCTGCCTGCCTGCCTGCCTGCCTGCCTGCCTGCCTGCCTGCCTGCCTGCCTGTTTGTCTGTTTGTCTGTCTACCTGCCTGCCTGTCTGTCTGTCTGTCTGTCTGTCTGTCTGTCTGTCTGTCTGTCTGTCTGTCTGTCTGTCTGTCTGTCTGTCTGTCTGTCTGTCTGTCTGTCTGTCTGTCTGTCTGTCTGTCTGTCTGTCTGTCTGTCTGTCTGTCTGTCTGTCTGTCTGTCTGTCTGTCTGTCTGTCTGTCTGTCTGTCTGTCTGTCTGTCTGTCTGTCTGTCTGTCTGTCTGTCTGTCTGTTTGCCTGTCTGTCTGCCTGTCTGCCTGTCTATCTGTCTGCCTGACACATATTACCAGGGTCGGCTCTAGTGTCCAGACACATATTACCAGGGTCGGCTCTAGCGTCCAGACACATATTACCAGGGTCGGCTCTAGCGTCCAGACACATATTACCAGGGTCGGCTCTAGTGTCCAGTCACATATTACCAGGGTCGGCTCTAGCGTCCAGACACATATTACCAGGGTCGGCTCTAGTGTCCAGACACATATTACCAAGGTCGGCTCTAGCGTCCAGACACATATTACCAGGGTCGGCTCTAGCGTCCAGTCACATATTACCAGGGTCGGCTCTAGCGTCCAGACACATATTACCAGGGTCGGCTCTAGCGTCCAGACACATATTACCAGGGTCGGCTCTAGCGTCCAGACACATATTACCAGGGTCGGCTCTAGTGTCCAGACACATATTACCAGGGTCAGCTCGGCTCTTTTACCCGCTACTCTTTTCTGTCTATCGTTCTAGCTGTCTGTCTGTCTGTCTGTCTGTCTGTCTGTCTGTCTGTCTGTCTGTCTGTCTCTTTCTCTCTGTTCTTTGTATCTGTTCTTATGCCCTTGCAGGCACATATTATTACATTTTGTGAGCCATTGTTGAGCTGTCTTTTTCCCCACACTACCACAGATTCCTGTTTATTCTGTTGGGGCCCACAGGAAAAGCCAAGTCCTATAATCAGATCGGTCGAGCCATAGCTACCCTAATGGTGGATGACGTAAGTGTCTGTCAATGTTTCTTTCTTTTCATGTATATAGATGACATTACAGATGACATGGAAATACAGGCTTGATGGTCTGTTAACTTGAGTCAGCCAGAACTCCACATAGTGATAATGAGGCCTCCATGGCTTTCTGTTGGTACCAGTCAGCCTCTCGTTAGCTAAATATCATGGACATAAATGTTTTATGTTATACAGGCAACAGCCTGTTGTTTCCCATAATAGACTGGCAGGTGTTTTGAACAGAGTCCCACCACGGTCATAAATTAAGAATAGTTCCCTGGGTATGCATCCCATTACTTCATGAGGAGACAGGTCAGGACCTTGTATCAGATACTGCAGTGCATAGTAATAACTATCTCACCCTGTTCTCTCTCTCCTATCCTGCTCTCTCGCTCTCTCCTCTCTCTCTCTCGGCACCTCTCTCTCGTCTCTCTCTGTCTCTCTCTCTCTCTTTCTCTCTACTCTGTCCTCTTCTTCTCTCCTCTTCTCTCTCTCGTGGTCCCTCTCTCCTCTCTTCTCTCTCTCTCTCTCTCTCTCTCTCTCTCTCTCTCTCTCTCTCTCTCTCTCTCTCTGTCTCGCATTCTCTCCCTAGCTATTCAGTGATGTGGCGTACAAGGCTAGAGATCGAGAAGATCTGATTGCAGGTATAGATGAGTTCCTGGATGAGGTGATCGTGCTGCCGCCTGGAGAGTGGGACCCCAAAATACGTATCGAGCCCCCTAAAAAAGTGACCTCGGCTGACAAGAGGTTGGACTCTAGTCATTTCCCCATACTTAATAATAATACATTGTATTTTTTGATAGCGCTTTTCTAAAACCCAAAGACACTTGAATTTTCAAGAGTCAACTCTGAGACCCAGTTGTGGCGGTCCAGTCTGTCATCATCACTTCCTATACCTCTCTTCTCCACCGGTGTGTACTTCCTGTTTCCTGTGTGTACAGGAAGTCAGTGTTCTCTCTGAATGAGCTGGGTCAGCCGAACGGTACGGCGGGAGGAGGTGGAGGCCTCGCTGAGGATGAGGAGATGCCAGTGGCTCACGAACTGGGAGAGGAGCTGGCACACACTGGGAGGTAGGCTACTGCGTGGGAATGTATGTTAGGAGACTAGGAAGTATGATAACGTGAGAGAAACTGGGTCTGAACTGGGATAAGAGAGGAAGACTACTGAATGAATTGAGATGTGAGGTAGAGTACTAGAGTGGAACTGGAACCTTTAGCTGGCCTTTACACAGAGCTGGGTTGCTGGGACAACCTATTAGTATTCAAGGGACATTGCATCTAAATGTGCTTTAAAATGTCCTGTCTCTTGTTAATTCACATTTGGAACATTCACTCACTCAGGAGTGATGAATAAAGTGACTGGTCAGGCGGTCAGGATAGCCAAGATAATCGCCTCTCCTTTTCTCATCGGCCCGATATTATTGTATTAAATCATCAGTGGTTCAGTTGGCCCATCCTGTCACACCGTGAAACGACAGACATACTGAAACGAAGTGACTCAGTGATGCATTAAATAGATGATAATACGTTTTAAACAGAGCGTGTGCGGCATCATAACCAGAGTGTTTGTGTCAGTGACAAGCACTTTGTAACAATTGTGGATATAAATCGGGCTTTATAAATATATTTGATTGATTGTCTGTGTCTGTGGCAGGTTCTGTGGTTACCAGTTTGTCGGTTTTTGTGTCTGTGGCAGATTCTGCATCATAACCAGAGTGTTTGTGTCTGTGTTAGGTTCTGTGGTAACCAGAGTGTTTGTGTCTGTGGCAGGTTCTGTGGTAACCAGAGTGTTTGTGTCTGCGCCTGTGGCTGGTTCTGTGGTAACCAGAGTGGTTGTGTCTGTGGCAGTTTCTGCATCATAACCAGAGTGTTTGTGTCTGTGGCAGGTTCTGTGGTAACCAGAGTGTTTGTGTCTGTGTCTGTGGCAGGTTCAGTGGTAACCAGAGTGTTGTGTATAATCGGTGTTAGTTATGTGGTAACCGTGTGTTTGGTCTGTGCCTGTGGCTGGTTCGTGGTAACCAGGTTGTGGTTTGTGTCTGTGGCAGGTTCTGCGTCATAACCAGAGTGTTTGTGTCTGTGTTAGGTTCTGTGGTAACCAGAGTGTTGTGTTGTTGCCTGGTAGTTATGTGGTAACCAGGTGTTTGGTCGCTGGCCTGTGTTCGGTTCTGTGGTAACCAGTGTGTTTGTGGTCTGTGCCTGTGGCTGTTCAGTGGTAACCAGAGTGTTTGTGTCTGTGGCAGGTTCTGTGGTAACCAGAGTGTTTGTGTCTGTGGCAGGTTCTGTGGTAACCAGAGTGTTTGTGTCTGTGGAAGTTCTGTGGTAACCAGAGTGTTGTCTGTGGGGTTCGCATAACCAGAGTGTGTTTGTGTCTGTGCCTGTGGCAGGTTCAGTGGTAACCAGAGTGTTTGTGTCTGTGGCAGGTTCTGGTCTAACCAGAGTGTTTGTGTCTGTCGCCTGTGGTTAGGTTCGTGGTAACCAGAGTGTTTGTGTCTGTGGCAGGTTCTGCTTAACCAGAGTGTTTGTGTGCGCTGTGGCAGGTTCTGTGGTAACCAGAGTGTTGTGTCTGTGGCTGGTTCTGTGGTAACAGGTGTTGTGTCTGACGCAGGGTGTTCTGTGTAACCGAGTGGTTGTGTCTGTGCGTTATGGCCTAACCAGGTGTTTGTGTCTGTGGCGGTTCTGTGTAACCAGAGTGTTGTGTCGTGTCTGTGGCAGGTTCGTGTAACCAGAGTGTTTGTGTCTATGTTGTGTCTGGTTTGTGGTAACCAGTGTGTTTGTGTCTGTGCCTGTGGCTGGTTCAGTGGTAACCAGGGTGTTTGTGTCTGTGGCAGGTTCTGCGTCATAACCAGAGTGTTTGTGTCTGTGGCTGGTTCTGTGGTAACCAGAGTGTTTGTGTCTGTGTCTGTGGCAGGTTCAGTGGTAACCAGAGTGTTTGTGTCTGTGTCTGTGTTAGGTTATGTGGTAACCAGTGTGTTTGTGTCTGTGCCTGTGTTAGGTTATGTGGTAACCAGTGTGTTTGTGTCTGTGCCTGTGGCTGGTTCAGTGGTAACCAGAGTGTTTGTGTCTGTGGCAGGTTCTGTGGTAACCAGAGTGTTTGTGTCTGTGGCAGGTTCTGTGGTAACCAGCGTGTTTGTGTCTGTGGCAGGTTCTGTGGTAACCAGAGTGTTTGTGTCTGTGGCAGGTTCTGCATCATAACCAGAGTATTTGTGTCTGTGCCTGTGGCAGGTTCAGTGGTAACCAGAGTGTTTGTGTCTGTGGCAGGTTCTGCGTCATAACCAGAGTGTTTGTGTTTGTGTCTGTGGCAGGTTCAGTGGTAACCAGAGTGTTTGTGTGCGTGCCTGTGGCTGGTTCTGTGGTAACCATAGTGTTTGTGTCTGTGCCTGTGGCAGGTTCAGTGGTAACCAGAGTGTTTGTGTCTGTGGCTGGTTCTGTGGTAACCAGAGTGTTTGTGTCTGTGGCTGGTTCAGTGGTAACCAGAGTGTTTGTGTCTGTGCCTGTGGCAGGTTCAGTGGTAACCAGAGTGTTTGTGTCTGTGCTTGTGGTTGGTTCTGTGGTAACCAGAGTGTTTGTGTCTGTGGCAGGTTCTGTGGTAACCAGTGTGTCTGTGTCTGTGTCTGTGGCAGGTTCTGTGGTAACCAGTGTGTCTGTGTCTGTGCGTGTGGCAGGTTCTGTGGTAACCAGAGTGTTTGTGTCTGTGCGTGTGGCAGGTTCTGTGGTAACCAGAGTGTTTGTGTCTGTGCGTGTAGCAGGTTCTGTGGTAACCAGTGTGTCTGTTTCTTTGTCTGTGTCTGTGGTAAGTTCTGCATCATAACCAGAGTGTCTATGGCAGGTTCTGTGGAGGTCTGTTCCTTGACATCAAGAGAAAAATGCCCTGGTTGCTTAGTGACTTCTACGAGGGCTTTCACATCCAGTCTATCTCTGCTGTGCTGTTCATCTACCTGGGCTGCATCACCAATGCCATCACCTTCGGAGGCCTGCTGGGGGACGCCACAGACAACTACCAGGTTGGGCTGATTTAGCCTGAAATCCAGAACTGTTTTGTGTTACCATTCCACCCGTTGTACTCCGTGTCATATGCCAATATGTTTGGCATATCACAAAGTACAATGAGTGGAATGTTAGCACAAACAGACTGGTACCCAGGTTAGGGCTGATAACCCTCCAATTAATCCATATTTAGTTAATTTACTCTGATTCAAATCCTAATTTTCTGAGTTGATGATTTCCAAATGAGACAAAAAAAATGATGGTAGCTAACTTACTCTAGCAGGTGCTATATGTACACTACCAGTCAAAAGTTTGGACACACCTACTCATTCAAGGGTGTTTCTTTATTTGTACTATTCTTTACGTTGTAGAATAATAGTGAAGACATCAAAACTATGAAATAACACATATGGAATCATGTAGTAACCAAACAAGTGTTAAACAAATCAAAATATATTTTATATTTGAGATTCTTTATTGGCACAGGAAACATATATTTACATTGTCAAAGCAAGTGAAATAGATAATAAACAAAAGTGAAATAATCAATAAAAAATGAACAGTAAACATTACACTCACATCAACATAAATATGGGTTGTCTATGTCTCTCTCTCTCTCTCTGTCTCTCTCTCTCTATCTCTATCTCTCTCTCTTTCTCTGTCTCTCTCTCTCTCTCGCTCTCTCACACACTACCCTCTCCCCCACCTGCCCTCTCTCGCTCTCTCTGTTTCAGGGTGTGATGGAGAGTTTCCTGGGCACAGCGTTGTCAGGAACAGTATTCTGTCTGTTTAGTGGCCAGCCCCTCATCATCCTCAGCTCTACTGGACCCATCCTCATCTTTGAGAAACTGCTCTTTGAATTCAGCAAGTGAGCGAGCTCAACCCCACCCCAGTTCACAATCAGACACTGTAGTGTTGTCACGATCGCTTACAGACGGGACGGACCAAGGCGCAGCGTGATATGCATACATGTTTATTAAATATTACACACAACGACAAAATAACAAACAAAACGAAACGTGAAGTCCAAGGCAGCACAACACAACATACCTTACACGGAACAAGATCCCACAACCCACTAGTGCCAATAGGCTGCCTAAGTATGGTCCCCAATCAGAGACAATGAGCGACAGCTGCCTCTGATTGGGAACCACACCGGCCAACATAGATCTAGACATACTAGAACTACAACATAGAAATACACAACATAGAAACTACACACCCTGACTCAACAGATACGAGTCCCCTGAGTCAGGGCGTGACAGTACCCCCCCCCCCCCAAAGGTGCGGACTCCGACCGCGCAACATAAACATAACAGGGTAGGGGCCGGGTGGGCATTCCGCCTCGGAGGCGAATCCGGCTCAGGGCGTGACGACCTCTCACTCTTCGCCTCCCTGTTGCGCCCCTGGTCTGGTCTAGACCTCGGCGCGTTGCTTCCCCTCTCCTTCCTCCCACTATACTCCAAGCCCTGTCTGGACCCTGGTGTGGGAGACCCCGAACCTGGAGAGGGGCTGACGTCTGGGTCTGGACTGGAGCCGCTGACCGGAGCTGGACCGGGCACCGGTGGAGCGGACTGCTCAGACTCCGGACTGGAGCCGCTGACCGGAGCTGGTCTAGGCACCGGTGGAGCGGACTGCTCTGGCTCCGGAGTGGAGCCGCTGACCGGATCTGGACTAGACCCCGGTGGAGCGGACTGCTCTGGCTCCGGAGTGGAGCAGCTGACCGGAGCTGGATCAGGCACCGGTGGAGCGGACTGCTCTGGCTCCGGAGTGGAGCCGCTGACCGGATCTGGACTGGACCCCGGTGGAGCGGACTGCTCTGGCTCCGGAGTGGAGCAGCTGACCGGAGCTGGATCTGGCACCGGTGGAGCGGACTGCTCTGGCTCTGGAGTGGAGCCGCTGACCGGATCTGGACTAGACCCCGGTGGAGCAGACTGCTCTTTCTCCGGAGTGGAGCAGCTGACCGGAGCTGGATCTGGCACCGGTGGAGCGGACTGCTCTGGCTCCGGAGTGGAGCCGCTGACCGAATCTGGACTAGACCCCGGTGGAGCGGACTGCTCTGGCTCCGGAGTGGAGCCGCTGACCGGAGCTGGATCAGGCACCGGTGGAGCGGACTGCTCTGGCTCCGGAGTGGAGCCGCTGACCGGATCTGGACTTGACCCCGTTGGAGCGGACTGCTCTGGCTCCGGAGTGGAGCAGCTGACCGGAGCTGGATCAGGCACCGGTGGAGCGGATTGCTCTGGCTCCGGAGTGGAGCCGCTGACCGGATCTGGACTGGACCCCGGTGGAGCGGACTGCTCTGGCTCCGGAGTGGAGCAGCTGACCGGAGCTGAACTGGGCACCGGTGGAGCGGACTGCTCTGGCTCCGGAGTAGAGCAGCTGACCGGTGCCGAACCAGGCACTGGTGGAACAGGCACGGGCCGTGCCGGGCTGGACACACGCACCACTTGCTTGGTGCGAGGAGCAGGAACAGGCCGGGCCGGGCTTGCGACGTGCACCACTGGCTTGGTGCGAGGGGCAGGAACAGGCCGGGCCGGGCTGGCGACGCGCACCACTGGCTTGGTGCGAAGAGCAGGAACGGGCCGGAACGGACTGCGAAGGCGGACTGGAGGTCTGGAGCGGAGAGCTGGCACAACCCGTCCTGGCTGGCTGCCCACTTTCACACTACACGTGCGGGGTGCTGGCACAGGACGCACTGGGCTGTGCACGCGCACTGGCGATACAGCTCGTAGAACTGGCACAGGATACGCGGGACCGAGGAGGCGTACTGGAGACCTGGAGCGTTGAGCCGACACACCCCGTCCTGGCTGGATGCCCATCTTCGCACGGCACGTGCGTGGTGCAAGCACAGGACGTACAGGACTGTGCCGGCGCACTGGCGACACAGTACGTAGCTCCGCATGACATGGAGCTTGCCCAGTCATACGCCTTCTCGCGTGAGTACGGGGAATTGGCTCTGCTCTAACCCTAGGCTCCGCCAACCACCCTCTTAGCCCCCCCACATTTTTTTATTGGGGCTGTCTCTCGGGCTTCTTCCTCGACCGGCTTCCTCTGTGCTGCCGTTGCTCCTCTCCTGCCTGGGCATCTACCTTTGCCCATGGCCCTTTCCCCACAAATATCTCCTCCCATGACCACCATTTGCCCACCTGTGACATGGCAATTCGCTCTTCCTGGGCACGCTGCTTGGTCCTCGTTTGGTGGGATCTTCTGTCACGTTCGTTCATGAACGAGAAGGACCAAGGCGCAGCGTGATATGCGTACATGTTTATTAAATATTAAACACAACGACAAAATAACAAACAAAACTAAACCTGAAGTCCAAGGCAGCACAACACAACATACCTTACACGGAACAAGATCCCACAACCCACTAGTGCCAATAGGCTGCCTAAGTATGGTCCCCAATCAGAGACAACGAGCGACAGCTGCCTCTGATTGGGAACCACACCGGCCAACATAGATCTAGACATACTAGAACTACAACATTGAAATACACAACATAGAAACTACACACCCTGACTCAACATATACGAGTCCCCTGAGTCAGGGCGTGACAAGTGTATATGTAGTATTTCAATACATATGGTTCCTCCTCTTGATTTGAATGAGAATTCAAACAACACGCACATCAGACATTTATATGAATGGCACAATGTTGAGATAAGATTTTATGTGTCATATTGGAGAGTGTGTGTCCATTCCATCTTCATAAAAAGACTGTTCTGCCTTCCACGTTCTGCCCTGTATCCATAATTCCATGTACATGTTCTTATTTCTAAGGAACAATGGTATAGACTACATGGAGCTGCGTCTGTGGATCGGGATCCACTCCTGTATCCAGTGCTTCCTCCTGGTCGCTACGGATGCCAGCTACATCATCAAGTACATGACCCGCTTCACAGAGGAGGGCTTCTCCAGTCTAATATCCTTCATCTTCATCTCTGACGCCATCAAGAAGATGGTGGGTCTCACACACGCACGCGGGAACGCACACACACGCACGCAGCCGAGTACACATGCACGCATGCAGGCACACACACACACACACTTAACTGTTGATATAATGTGTTGCTACAGATGGGCTCCTTCAAATACTACCCCATCAACACCGACTTCAAGCCCGACTACGTCACCGCCTACAAGTGCGAGTGCCTGGCCCCAGACCCCAGTGAGTCCATCCTTGGCTGTATAGAATATCATTGCAGTGCAGAGTCCCCAGCAGAGGACATAGGGGTTGTTATAGGGTTGAAGAGGATTGTGATGGGGTTATCAGGACCTAGTAACCTGGGTAACAGTCTGTTTATGGAATTGTCATGCCAAACATCTCAAACGTTTAACAGAAGTAGAAGTAGAAATAGAAATAGCACAAACAAATGTGGGTATAAACAGGACCTGGCTACTGCTAAGGGATTTGGGGACACCAAGAATATAAGTATGGTTTGGTAATATAAGGATGTATAATACCTTTATGCCTGTCTGGAGACGTTCATTGCATTGCGAAATCTTATATTGCGAACGTTACGAGAGTTGACTGAAGATACTTGACTACTGTAACTGATTTGTCTCACGTTTGTTTTTGCTGCACACACAAATGGCTGCTGTCTGATGCAAGTGAGTAACACTTCCTGTGTATGCATGAGCTTCAACTAGCTGTTCTTTCTCTCTGTTTAAAGTCTCAAAGTCTACCTGTTGAAATCTTATTTTATTTTGTATTTCTCTTGTCCCCTGACTCTGCCCTCACCTCGTTTTCCCTCTCTGCACCTCAATTTCTCCTTCATTACCCTCCTCTCTCTGTCTGTCTCCCTTCTTCTAACTTAAACAGTGGCTTCAATGATCTTCAATGGTTTAGTGCCAGTGCCAACTGATAACACCTCTAGTCTCTTTGGAGTAAGTGGTTGTTTTCATTCTATTTCTATTTTGTCATGTCTTTTTATGGAGATGTTAGAACTGGTGTTATGTTGTAAACACAACACACCATGCTGAATACCCTAAGGGCATCTCAATATTTCATTTTTTGACACAACAGACTTCCTAGTTGTTGTTTGTTTGAACTCAAATGTCAATGATACTACGGAAAAAGCAGGAATATGACACTGAGCCAAGTGGGAACAATTTGTTTAAAGAGTCTGACATACAGCGGCTTGCGAAAGTATTCACCCCCCTTGGCATTTTTCCGATTTTGTTGCCTTACAACCTGGAATTAAAATTGATTTTTGGGGGGTTTGTATCATTTGATTTACACAACATGCCTACCACTTTGAAGATGCAAAATATTTTTGATTGTAAAACAAACAAGAAATAAGACAAAAAACAGAAAACTTGAGCGTGCATAACTATTCACCCCCCCCCCCCCCCCCAAGTCAATACTTTGAAGAGCCACCTTTTGCAGCAATTACAGCTGCAAATCTCTTGGGGTATGTCTCTATAAGCTTGGCACATCTAGCCACTGGGATTTTTGCCCATTCTTCAAGGCAAAACTACTCCAGCTCCTTCAAGTTGGATGGGTTCCGCTGGTGTACAGCAATCTTTAAGTCATACCACAGATTCTCAATTGGATTGAGGTCTGGGCTTTGACTAGGCCATTCAAAGACATTTAAATGTTTCCCCTTAAACCACTCGAGTGTCGCTTTAGCAGTATGCTTAGGGTCATTGTCCTGCTGGAAGGTGAACCTCCGTCCCAGTCTCAAATCTCTCAAAATTTATATTTATATTATTATTATAAATCTCTGGAAGACTGAAACAGGTTTCCCTCAAGAATTTCCCTGTATTTAGCGCAATCCATAATTCCTTCAATTCTGACCAGTTACCCAGTCCCTGCCGATGAAAAACATCCCCACAGCATGATGCTGCCACCACCATGCTTCACTGTGGGGATGGTGTTCTCGGGGTGATGGCAGGTGTTGGTTTTCATCTGACCAGAGTACCTTCTTCCATATGTTTGGGGAGTCTCCCACATGCCTTTTGGCGAACACCAAACGTGTTTGCTTATTTTTTTCTTTAAACAATGGCTTTTTTCTGGCCACTCTTCCGTAAAGCCCAGCTCTGTGGAGTGTACGGCTTAAAGTGGTCCTATGGACAGATACTCCAATCTCCGCTGTGGAGCTTTGCAGCTCCTTCAGGGTTATCTTTGGTCTCTTTGTTGCCTCTCTGATTAATGCCCTCCTTGCCTGGTCCATGAGTTTTGGTGGGCGGCCCTCTCTTGGCATGTTTGTTGTGGTGCCATATTCTTTCAATTTTTTAATAATGGATTTAATGGTGCTCCATGGGATGTTCAAAGTTTCTGATATTTTTTTATAACCCAACCCTGATCTCTACTTCTCCACAACTTTGCCCCTGACTGTTTAGAGAGCTCATTGGTCTTCATGGTACTGCTTGCTTGGTGGTGCCCCTTGCTTAGTGGTGTTGCAGACTCTGGGGCCTTTCAGAACAGGTGTATACAGATCATGTGACACTTAGATTGCACACAGGTGGACTTTATTTAACTAATTATGTGACTTCTGAAGGTATTTGGTTGCACCAGATCTTATTTAGGGGCTTCATAGCAAAAGGGGTGAATACATATGCACGCACCACTTTTCCCTTATTGATTTTTTTGAAATAAGTAATTTATTTCATTTCACAAATTTGGACTATTTTGTGTATGTCCATTACATGAAATCCAAATAAAAATCAATTTAAATTACAGGTTGTAATGCAACAAAATAGAAAAGGTTGTCATACAACAAAATAGGAAAAACGCCAAGGGGGATGAATACTTTTGCCAGGCACTGTATGAGTCGGTTCATTTTCTTTTTTTGTCTCCATGTTGTTCTCTGGCACTCTCTTCCCTTTTATTCTCTCTCTCTCTCTCTCTCTCTCTCTCTCTCTCTCTCTCTCTCTCTCTCTCTCTCTCTCTCTCTCTCTCTCTCTCTCTCTCTCTCTCTCTCGACAAACCTCACATCCTCCCATCCATGCCAATCGTTTTCTCTACACGTCACATTTTTCTTCCACCTCTAAAACTGTGTCCCCCTCCATCCCTCTCTCCTCCCAGTTAAACATCACAGGCCTGGACTGGAGCCAGCTCAGTAAGAAGGAGTGTGTGAAGTACGGAGGCTCTCTGGTGGGCAACACCTGTAAGTACGTCCCAGACCTGGCCCTCATGTCCTTCATTCTGTTCTTCGGGACCTACTCCATGACCGTCTCCCTCAAGAAGTTCAAGTTCAGTCGCTACTTCCCCACCAAGGTGAGACTAGAACGAACTGAAGAGGGGCTGGATCTTTATACAGTGACATACATGCTGCATCACAAATGGCAGCCTAATGCAGCCACAGTTTCATATGTTTCATTTAAGAAATCTGTTCAAGTATTCCCGTTAATAAAAAAAAGACCTGATTGTGTCTCAACGTAGTCAAGGTATTAAATTGTTGTTATTTTCAAATACAATCAATTTTTTGGGCTTAGTTGTGGTCAATTTGCAGTATACCAATTATTATAATTATGTTCCGGCCCCTCGACCATCCGCTCCAACAAAAATCTGATCTATTCAAAACTCTCCAGCCAATGGAAAATACAAATTCCTATGGTCATTTAGTATACATCTCCATAGAGATTGGGTGTAAATAAGTGTAATGACCAAAATATGTTTATATCTAAACTTTTGTATACCATTGTCTCCCCAAACTCCTCCTCCATGTTTTTACTCCTGCTCTCTCTCTCTCTCTCTTTCTCAATTCAATTTCAATTTAAGGGCTTTATTGGCATGGGAAATGTATGTTAACATTGCCTTAGCAAGTGAAATAGATACTAAACAAAAGTGAAATAAACAAAAAATATTAACAGTAAATATTACACTCAGAAGTTCCAAAAGAATAAAGACATTTCAAATGTATAATTATGTATATATATATATATATATATATATATATATATATATATAGTGTTGTAACAATGTGCAAATAGTTAAAGTACAAATGGGAAAATAGTATTTACAATGGTGATTTTCTTCACTGGTTGCCCTTTTCTTGTGGCAACAGGTCACAAATCTTGCTGCTGTGATGGCACACTGTGGTTTTTCACCCAGTAGATAAGGGAGTTTATCAACATTTGGTTTGTTTTTCTTTCTTTCTTTTCTCTCTCTCTCTCTCTCTCTCTCTCTCTCTCTCTCTCTCTCGCTCTCTCTCTCTCTCTCTCTCTCTCCTCTCTCTCTCTTTTTCTCTCTTCGTTCTCTTATCTCTGTCTCTCTCTCTGTCCTGTCTCTCTTCTCTCTTTTCTTTCTCTCATCTCTCTCTGTCTGGCTCTATCTTTTCTTCCTTTTCTCTCTCTGCTCTCTTTCTTTCTCTCTGTCTCTGTCTGTCTCTCTCTCTATCTCTCTCTCTGTCTCCCCCTCTCTCTCTCTCTCTCTCTCTCTTTCTTTCGTTGTCTTGTCTGTCTGTCTGTCATGTTCTGTCTGTCTGTCTTGTCTGTCTCTCTTCTCTCTTTCTCCTCTCTCTCTCTCTCTCTTCTCTCCTCTCTCTCTCTCTCTCCCTCTCTCCTCTCTCTCTCTCTCTCTCTATCTCTCTTCTCCCTCTCTCTCTCCTCTCTATCTCTCTCTCTCTACTCTCTCTTCTCTCTCTCTCTCTCTCTCTACTCTTGCTTCTCTCTCTAGCTGTCTCTCTCTGTCTAATCTTTGTCTGTCTCTCTCCTCTCTTTTCCTTCTCTCTTCTCTCTCTGTCTGCTCTCTCCTTTTTTTACTTCCTTCTCCTTTCTCTCTCTCTCTCTCTTCTTTTCCTCTTCTCTCTCTCTCTCTTCCTATCGCTTCTCTCTCTCTAGCCTCTCTCTCTCTCTCTCTCTCTCTCTCTCTCTCTCTCTTCTTTTTCTCTCTCTCTCTCTCTCTGTGTGTGTCTCCAGTGTCAAATCCCAAACAGTGAACAATGTTCCCTCCCTGATCCTCAATGTGCGTACTGACCTGAAATGGCATGTTCCTCACAATATTCTATACCACCTATATTAAAGCTGAATACAGCTTATGATTTTCAATGCATTTGAGATGTTTTTAATGTGTTTGTGTCTCTGCATTTATTTTATTTGAGAGATTATCTGTTTCTCACTAGACTTGTTTTGTCTTTTTTGTCTTTGCTTTGTTCTCTGTCTCTGTGTCTGTCTCTTTGTCTGTCTGTGTCTCTGTCTCTGTCTCTGTGTCTGTATCTGTGTCTCTGTGTCTGTCTCTGTCTGTGTGTCTGTCTGTGTCTCTGTCTGTCTGTGTCTCTGTTTCTGTCTCTGTGTCTGTCTGTCTGTGTCTCTGTCTCTGTGTCTGTCTCTGTCTCTGTGTCTGTCTTCTGTGTCTCTGTGTTTATGTCTCTGTCTGTGTCTGTCTGTGGCTCTGTGTCTGTCTCTATGTCTTTGTCTGTCTATGTATCTGTCTGTCTCTGTGTCTGTGTCTCTGTCTCTGTCTTTGTCTGTGTCTGTGTCTCTGTCTGTGTCTGTGTGTATGTGTCTCTGTCTCTGTATGTGTGTCTGTCTCTGTGTCTGTTTGTCTGTATGTGTCTGTGTCTCTGTGTCTCTGTGTCTGTCTGTGTCTGTGTCTCTGTCTCTGTGTCTGTCTCTGTGTCTGTGTCTGTGTCTCTGTATGTGTCTGTGTCTGTCTCTGTCTCTGTGTCTCTGTCTGTGTCTGTCTATGTCTCTCTCTGTCTCTGTGTCTGTGTCTCTATCTGTGTCTGTGTCTCTGTCTGTGTCTCTATCTGTTTATGTCTATGTCTCTGTCTCTGTCTGTCTCTGTGTCTATGTCTCTGTCTCTGTCTCTGTCTCTGTCTCTGTTTCTGTGTCTGTCTCTGTCTCTGTGTCTGTGTCTGTGTCTGTCTGTGTCTCTGTCTGTGTCTGTCTATGTCTCTGTCTCTGTCTCTGTGTCTGTGTCTGTGTCTGTGTCTCTGTCTCTGTGTCTGTCTCTGTCTCTGTCTCTGTCTCTGTCTCTGTCTCTGTGTCTGTGGCTGTGGCTGTGTCTGTGTCTCTGTCTCTGTGTCTGTCTGTATTTGTCTCTGTATGTGTGTCTGTCTCTGTGTTTGTTTGTCTGTCTGTGTCTCTGTCTGTTTCTGTGTCTGTTTCTGTGTCTGTGTCTCTGTCTCTGTGTATGTCTGTGTCTGTGTCTCTGTCTCTGTCTATGTGTCTGTCTCTGTGTCTGTCTCTGTGTCTGTCTCTGTGTCTGTCTCTGTGTCTGTCTCTGTCTCTGTGTCTCTGTCTGTGTCTGTCTGTGTCTCTGTCTCTGTCTCTGTGTCTGTCTCTGTCTCTGTCTCTGTCTCTGTCTGTGTCTCTGTGTCTGTGTCTCTGTGTCTGTCTGTGTCTCTGTCTCTGTATGTGTGTCTGTCTCTGTTTGTCTGTCTGTGTCTGTGTCTGTGTCTGTGTCTCTGTCTCTGTGTCTGTCTGTGTCTCTGTCTCTGTCTCTGTGTCTGTCTCTGTCTATGTATCTGTCTCTGTCTCTGTCTCTGTCTCTGTGTCTGTGTCTCTATCTCTGTCTCTGTCTCTGTGTCTGTCTCTGTCTCTGTGTCTCTGTCTGTGTCTGTCTGTGTCTGTGTCTCTGTCTCTGTGTCTGTGTCTGTCTCTGTCTCTGTCTCTGTGTCTCTCTGTGTCTCTCTGTGTCTCTGTCTCTGTATGTGTGTCTGTCTCTGTTTGTCTGTGTCTGTGTCTGTGTCTCTGTGTCTCTGTGTCTGTCTGTGTCTCTGTCTCTGTCTCTGTGTCTCTATCTCTGTGTCTGTTTCTGTCTTTATCTCTGTGTCTGTTTCTGTCTCTGTCTGTGTCTGTGTCTCTGTCTGTGTCTGTCTATGTCTCTGTCTCTGTCTCTGTGTCTCTGTCTCTGTGTCTCTGTCTCTGTGTCTCTGTCTCTGTCTCTGTCTCTGTCTCTGTGTCTGTGTCTCTGTCTCTGTCTCTGTGTCTGTCTGTGTCTCTGTCTCTGTATGTGTGTCTGTATCTGTTTGTCTGTCTGTGTCTGTGTCTCTGTGTCTCTGTGTCTGTCTGTGTCTCTGTCTCTGTCGCTGTGTCTGTCTCTGTGTCTGTGTCTCTGTATGTGTCTGTGTCTGTCTCTGTCTCTGTCTCTGTGTCTCTGTCTGTGTCTGTCTCTGTCTCTCTCTGTCTCTGTATCTGTGTCTGTCTGTGTCTCTGTGTCTGTGTCTCTGTCTGTGTCTCTATCTGTTTATGTCTATGTCTCTGTCTGTCTCTGTGTCCGTGTCTTTGTCTCTGTCTCTGTCTCTGTGTCTGTCTCTGTGTCTATGTCTGTCTGTGTCTCTGTCTGTCTCTGTCTCTGTCTCTGTCTCTGTCTCTGTGTCTGACTCTGTGTCTGTCTGTGTCTCTGTCTCTGTCTCTGTCTCTGTCTCTGTCTCTGTCTCTGTCTCTGTCTCTGTGTCTGTGTCTGTGTCTGTGTCTCTGTCTCTGTGTCTGTCTGTATTTGTCTCTGTATGTGTGTCTGTCTCTGTGTTTGTTTGTCTGTCTGTGTCTCTGTCTGTTTCTGTGTCTGTTTCTGTGTCTGTGTCTCTGTCTCTGTGTATGTCTGTGTCTGTGTCTCTGTCTATGTGTCTCTGTGTCTGTCTCTGTGTCTGTCTCTGTCTCTGTCTCTGTGTCTCTGTCTGTGTCTGTCTGTGTCTGTCTTTGTCTCTGTCTTTGTCTCTGTCTCTGTCTCTGTGTCTGTCTCTGTCTCTGTCTCTGTCTCTGTCTCTGTCTGTGTCTCTGTGTCTGTGTCTCTGTGTCTGTCTGTGTCTCTGTCTCTGTATGTGTGTCTGTCTCTGTTTGTCTGTCTGTGTCTGTGTCTGTGTCTGTGTCTGTGTCTCTGTGTCTGTCTCTGTCTCTGTGTCTGTGTCTGTGTCTCTATCTCTGTCTCTGTGTCTGTCTCTGTCTCTGTGTCTGTGTCTCTGTCTGTGTCTGTGTCTGTGTCTGTCTCTGTCTCTGTCTCTGTCTCTGTCTCTGTGTCTCTGTGTCTCTCTGTGTCTCTGTCTCTGTATGTGTGTCTGTCTCTGTTTGTCTGTCTGTGTCTGTGTCTGTGTCTGTGTATGTGTCTCTGTGTCTGTCTGTCTGTGTCTCTTTCTCTGTCTCTGTCTCTGTCTCTGTCTCTGTGTCTGTGTCTCTATCTCTGTGTCTGTTTCTGTCTTTATCTCTGTGTCTGTTTCTGTCTCTGTCTGTGTCTGTGTCTGTGTCTCTGTCTGTGTCTGTCTACGTCTCTGTCTCTGTGTCTCTGTCTCTGTCTCTGTCTCTGTCTCTGTGTCTCTGTCTCTGTGTCTCTGTCTCTGTCTGTGTCTCTGTGTCTCTGTCTCTGTCTCTGTGTCTGTCTGTGTCTCTGTCTCTGTATGTGTGTCTGTATCTGTTTGTCTGTCTGTGTCTGTGTCTCTGTGTCTCTGTGTCTCTGTGTCTGTCTGTGTCTCTGTCTCTGTCTCTGTCTCTGTGTCTGTGTCTCTGTCTGTGTCTCTGTGTCTGTGTCTGTGTCTCTGTCTCTGTCTGTGTCTGTCTATGTCTCTGTCTCTGTCTCTGTGTCTGTGTCTCTGTCTCTGTCTGTGTCTCTGTCTCTGTCTCTGTCTCTGTCTCTGTCTGTGTCTCTGTGTCTCTGTGTCTGTATGTGTCTCTGTTTTTGTCTCTGTGTCTCTGTCTCTGTGTCTGTGTCTCTGTCTGTGTCTCTGTCTGTGTCTGTCTATGTCTCTGTGTCTGTCTCTGTGTCTGTGTCTCTGTGTCTCTGTCTGTGTCTGTCTGTGTCTCTGTGTCTCTGTCTATTTCTGTCTGTGTCTCTGTCTCTGTGTCTGTGTTTCTGTCTGTGTCTCTGTCTGTGTCTCTGTTTCTGTCTCTGTGTCTGTCTATGTCTCTGTCTGTGTCTGTCTATGTCTCTGTCTGTCTCTGTGTCTGTGTCTGTCTGTGTCTCTGTCTCTGTGTCTGTGTCTCTGTCTGTGTCTCTGTCTGTGTCTGTGTTTCTGTCTCTGTGTCTGTCTGTGTCTCTGTCTCGGTGTCTGTGTCTGTCTGTGTCTCTGTCTCTGTCTCTGTCTTTGTCTCTGTCTCTGTCTCTGTCTTCTGTGTCTGTGTCTGTGTCTCTGTGTCTGTGTCTCTGTGTCTTTCTATGTGTCTGTCTCTGTGTCTGTGTCTCTGTCTATGTCTCTTTGTGTGTCTGTGTCTCTATGTCTGTGTCTGTCTCTGTGTCTCTGTATGTGTCTGTGTGTGTGTCTGTGTGTGTATGTGTCTCTGTCTCTATCTGTGTGTCTGGCTCTGTGTCTGTCTGTGTCTCTGTCTGTGTGTCTGTGTCTGTCTCTGTTTCTCTGTATGTGTCTGTGTGTGTGTCTGTGTGTGTATGTGTCTCTGTCTCTATCTGTGTGTCTGGCTCTGTGTCTGTCTGTGTCTGTGTCTGTGTCTCTGTCTGTGTGTCTGTGTCTCTGTCTCTGTCTGTTGCTCTGTCTGTGTGTCTGTGTGTCTGTCTGTGTGTCTGTCTGTGTGTCTGTCTGCGTGTCTGTCTGTGTGTCTGTCTGTGTCTCTGTCTGTTGCTCGGTCTTTGGCTTCTGTAAACAGCTGCGGAAGCTCATCAGTGACTTCTCCATCTTCATGGCCATAATGACCTTTGTGGGTCTGGACAGGTTAATTGGGCTCAAAACCCCCAAGCTCATCGTTCCCACAGAGTTTAAGGTAAAGAAACAGGTTTCATATATTAGTTTTGTTCCTGACCATACCCTGGGCATAAACCTAATATTGAGTGTAGAAAACATTATGAACACCTGCTCTTTCCATGACATAGACTGACCAGGTGAATCCACGTGAAAGCTTTGATCCCATATTGATGTCACTTGTTAAATCCACTTCAATCATGAAGTTTTTAAGCCTTGAGACAATTGAGACATGGATTGTGTATGTGTGCCATTCAGAGGGTGAATGGCCAAGACGAAAAATGTAAGTGCCTTTGAACGGGGTTTGGTAGTAGGTGCCAGGCGCACCGGTTTGTGTCAAGAATTGCAATGCTGCTGGGGTATTCACGCTCAACAGTTTCCCGTGTGTATCAAGAATGGTCCACCACCCAAAGGACATCCAGCCAACTTGGAAAGCACTGGAGTCAACATGGGCCAGCATCCCCGTGGAACGCTTTCGACACCTTGTAGAGTCCATGCCCCGACGAATTTGACGCTGTTCTGAGGACAAAAGGGGTGTACATGTTTGTGTTTGTCCTTTAATCAAGGAATGATCATTCTGACACTGTCATTTACTGACTCCCTTTAGCCCACACGTCCAGACCGCGGTTGGATAGTGCTGCCGTTTGGGAAGAACCCATGGTGGGTGTATGTGGCCAGCTTCGTCCCTGCTCTCCTGGTCACCATCCTCATCTTCATGGACCAGCAGATCAGTGCTGTCATTGTCAACCGGAAGGAGAACAAACTGAGGGTACTCGGGTGTTTTTATTGATTTATTTCACCTTTTTTATCCCGGAAGTCCCATTGAGGTCAGGTCTGGTTGCACTCTATTATATACACAGCCAAGCCTGTCATAGTGAAGACTTTGATAACTAGTTTAACCTCAGCTTTTGGAGAACACAATGGGCATCACACATGTTATTTGCCATGATGAGCTATTTATATTGGAGATAAAACATGTGCTTGTAAGAGTAGAATCTAGTTCCTAGGCCCTTAATTGGGCTCTGGTGTCATGTTAGGGCCTACAGTGCATACTTAATGGGACAGTTACCTCAATGACATCCTGCAGTGTGAGTTCATGTCCTACTCTACTCTGTGTGTCCCTCCCTGCAGAAAGGGTGTGGCTACCACCTGGACCTGTTCTGGGTGGGTGTGCTGATGGCTGCCTGCTCCTTCTTGGGCCTGCCCTGGTATGTGGCCGCCACTGTCATCTCCATCGCCCACATTGATTCACTGAAGATGGAGAGTGAGTCCAGCGCCCCTGGGGAGCAGCCTCAGTTCCTGGGTGTCAGGTGAGGGAGCACAGAGAAGAAACAATAGAGTGTGACTATAGACCAGTGGTATTCAAACATTTTCAACTGGGACCCCATTTTTTCCGCCAGAATTTTGCGTGACCCCAATCCACGTCAAATGTATTGGCACAACCTTAAAATCTGTACATTTCAATTTTTACATCAACAAATAACCTTCAGTTCATTACATTTGAATCTCTTATCAAAATGAAAAGAAACAATAACTACATGTACGCAATAACATTGTATTTTTCTAGTTATCTTTCTCAAAAACATTTGTTCCCTCGGTCGCGACCCAGACTTTGAATACCACTGCTATAGAGGATATACAGGACAGGACAGGCAGAGCTTGTCGGCTGTCTGTTACAGATGGAAAGGTTTGCTGGTAGTCATCCTCTCTCTCTCTCTCTCTATCTCTCTCTCAATTCAATTTCAATTTCAATTTAAGGGCTTTATTGGCATGGGCAACGTATGTTAACATTGCCAAAGCAAGTGAAGTAGATAGTAAACAAAAGTGAAATAAACAATAAATATTAACAGTAAACATTACACTCAGAAGTTCCAAAAGAATAAAGACATTTCAAATGTCATATTATGGATATATACAGTGTTGTAACAATGTACAAATAGTTAAAGTACAAATGAGAAAATAAATAAACATAAATATGGGTTGTATTTACAATGGTGTTTGTTCTTCACTGGTTGCCCTTTTCTTGTGGCAACAGGTCACAAATATTGCAGCTGTGATGGCACACTGTGGTTTTTCACCCAGTAGATAAGGGAGTTTATCAACATTGGGTTTGTTTTCGAATTCTTTGTGGATCGCTGTAATCTGAGGGAAATATGTGTCTCTAATATGGTCATACATTTGGAAGTGCAGCTCAGTTTCCACCTCATTTTGTGGGCAGTGTGCACATAGCCTGTCTTCTCTTGAGAGCCAGGTCTGCCTACGGCGGCCTTTCTCAATAGCAAGGCTATGCTCACTGAGTCTGTACATAGTCAAAGCTTTCCTTAAGTTTGGGTCAGTCACAGTGGTCAGGTATTCTGCCACTGTGTACTCTCTGTTTAGGGCCAAATAGCATTCTAGTTTGCTCTGTTTTTTTGTTTGTTCTTTCCAATGTGTCAAGTAATTCTCTTTTTGTTTTCTCATGATTTGGTTGGGTCTAATTGTGTTGTTGTTGTTGTTGTTGTTGTTGTTGTCCTGGGGCTCTGTGGGGTCTGTTTGTGTTTGTGAACAGAGCCCCAGGACCAGCTTACTTAGAGGACTCTTCTCCAAGTTCATCTCTCTGTAGGTGATGGCTTTGTTATGGAAAGTTTGAGAATCACTTCCTTTTAAGTGGTTATAGAATTTAACGGCTCTTTTCTGGATTTTGATAATTAGCGGGTATTGGCCTAATTCTGCTCTGCATGCATTATTTCCTCCCGAGTGGCGCAGTGGTCTAAGGCACTGCATCGCAGTGCTAGCTGTGCCACTAGAAATCCTGGTTCGAATCCAGGCTCTGCTGTAGCCGGCCGCAACCGGGAGACCAATGGGGCGGCGCACAATTGGCCCAGCGTCGTCCAGGGTAGGGGAGGGAATGGCCGGCAGGGAGGTAGCTCAGTTGGTAGAGCATGGCGTTTGCAACGCCAGGGTTGTGGGTTTGATTCCCACGGGGGGCCAGTATGAAAATAAAAAAGAATAATGTATGCACTAACTGTAAGTCGCTCTGAATAAGAGCGTCTGCTAAATGACGTAAATGTAAATGTAAATTTGGTGTTTTACGTTGTACACAGAGGATGTTTTTGCAGAATTCTGCATGCAGAGTCTCAATTTGGTGTTTGTCCCATTTTGTGAATTCTTGGTTGGTGAGCGGACCCCATACCTCACAACCATGAAGGGCAATGGGTTCTATGACTGATTCAAGTATTTTTAGCCAGATCCTAATTGGTAGGTCAAATTTGATGTTCCTTTTGATGGCATTGAAGGCCCTTCTTGCCTTATCTGGAAGATCGTTCACAGCTTTGTGGAAGCTACCTGTGGCGCTGATGTTTGTATAGTTTTTTGTGTGCTCTAGGGCAACGGTCTCTAGATGGAATTTGTATGGACCTTTTTTGAGACGCCATTATTTTTGTCTTCCTAATGTTTACTTTCAGGGCCCTGGTCTGACAGAATCTGGGCAGAAGATCTAGGTGCTGCTGTAGGCCCTCCTTGGTTGGTGACAGAAGCACCAGATCATCAGCAAACAGTAGACATTTTACTTCAGATTCTAGTAGGGTGAGGCCGGGTGCTCTCTCTCTCTGTTTCTCTCTCTCTCTCTCTCTCTCTCTCTCTCTCGATCGCTCTGTGTGTGTCTCTCTCTCTGTCTTTCTCTCACAGCAACTACAGTGTGAGGTGATAGGAGGATTTACACCTTCAGCTGAAGCTGCCATTCATTTTCACGGCTCTTACACACACACACACACACACACACACACACACACACACACTGCAATACATCTTCACAGCTTTTGGTTTGCCGTACAGCATCAGGTGAAGAGGACAGGAAAAATAATTTGGGAGAAGTGCTGTTAACAGCCTTGCTATTCTATTCCCATGTACCGTCAAATCTTGGGTGAGAACCTCCTTCCCTCAGCCAGGGCATTGAAAATGGGTCGTGGATGGGTATTCCAGCATGACAATGACCCAAAACACACGGCCAAGGCAACAAAGGAGTGGCTCAAGAAGAAGCACATTAAGGTCCTGGAGTGGCCTAGCCAGTCTCCAGACCTTAATCCCATAGAAAATCTGTGGAGGGAGCTGAAGGGTCGAGTTGCCAAACGTCAGCCTCGAAACCTTAATGACTTGGAGAAGATCTGCAAAGAGGAGTGGGACAAAATCCCTCCTGAGATGTGTGCAAACCTGGTGGCCAACTACAAGAAACGTCTGACCTCTGTGATTGCCAACAAGGGTTTTGCCACCAAGTACTAAGTCATGTTTTGCAGAGGGGTCAAATACTTATTTCCCTCATTAAAATGCAAATCAATTTATAACATTTTTTACATGTGTTTTTCTGGATTTTGTTGTTGTTATTCTTTCTCTCACTGTTCAAATAAACCTACCATTAAAATGATAGACTGATCATTTCTTTGTCAGTGGGCAAACGTACAAAATCAGCAGGGGATCAAATACTTTTTCCCCTCTCTGTATATGTTGAAGAGGGTGGGGCTTAAACTGCATCCCTGTCTCACCCCACGGCCCTGTGGAAAGAAATGTGTGTGTTTTTTGCCAATTTTAACCGCACACTTGTTGTTTGTGTACATGGATTTTGTAACGTCGTATGTTTTTCCCCCAACCCCACTTTCCATCAATTTGTATAGCAGACCCTCATGCCAAATTGAGTCAAAAGCTTTTTTGAAATCAACAAAGCATGAGAAGACTTTGCCTTTGTTTTGGTTTGTTTGTTTGTCAATTAGGGTGTGCAGGGTGAATACGTGGTCTGTCGTACAGTAATTTGGTAAAAAGCCAATTTGACATTTGCTCAGTACATTGTTTTCACTGAGGAAATGAACTAGTCTGCTGTTAATGCAGAGGATTTTCCCAAGGTTGCTGTTGACGCATATCCCACGGTAGTTATTGGGGTCAAATTTGTCTCCACTTTTGTGGATTGGGGTGATCAGTCCTTGGTTCCAGATATTGGGGAAGATGCCAGAGCTAAGGATGATGTTAAAGAGTTTAAGTATAGCTAATTGAAATTTGTGGTCTGTATATTTTATCATTTCATTGAGGATACCATCAACACCACAGGCCTTTTTGGGTTGGAGGGTTTGTATTTTGTCCTGTAGTTCATTCAATGTAATTGGAGAATCCAGTGGGTTCTGGTAGTCTTTAATAGTTGATTCTAAGATTTGCATTTGATCATGTATATTATTTTGCTGTTTGTTCTCTGTTATAGGGCCAAAAAGATTGGAGAAGTGGTTTACCCATACATCTCTGTTTTGGATAGATAGCTCTTCGTGTTGTTGTTTGTTTAGTGTTTTCCAATTTTCCCAGAAATGGTTAGAGTCTATGGATTCTTCAATTACATTGAGCTGATTTCTGACATGCTGTTCCTTCTTTTTCCGTAGTGTATTTCTGTATTGTTTTAGTGATTCACCATAGTGAAGGCGTAGGCTCAGGTTTTCTGGGTCTCTATGTTTTTGGTTGGATAGGTTTCTCAATTTCTTTCTTAGGTTTTTGCATTCTTCATCAAACCATTTATCACTGTTGTTACTTTTCTTTGGTTTTCTGTTAGAGATTTTTAGATTTGATAGGGAAGCTGAGAGGTCAAATATACTGTTTAGGTTTTCTACTGCCAAGTTTACATCTTCACTATTACAGTGGAACGTTTTGTCCAGGAAGTTGTCTAGAATGGATTGAATTTGTTGTTGCCTAATTGTTTTTTGGTAGGTTTCAACACTACTTTCCTTCCATCTATAGCATTTCTTAATATTATTCAGTTCCTTTGGCTTTGATGCCTCATGATTGAGTATTGCTCTGTTCAAGTAGACTGTGATTTTGCTGTGGTCTGATAAGGGTGTCAGTGGGCTGACTGTGAATGCTCTGAGAGACTCTGGGTTGAGGTCAGTGATAAAGTAGTCTACAGTACTACTGCCAAGAGATGAGCTATAGGTGTACCTACCATAGGAGTCCCCTCGAAGCCTACCATTGACTATGTACATACCCAGTGTGCGACAGAGCTGCAGGAGTCGTGACCCGTTTTTGTTGGTTATGTTGTCGTAGTTGTGCCTAGGGGGGCATATGGGGGAGGGAATGCTGTCACCTCCAGGTAGGTGTTTGTCCCCCTGTGTGCTGAGGGTGTCAGGTTCTTGTCCAGTTCTGGCATTTAGGTCGCCACAGACTAGTACACGTCCCTGGGTCTGGAAATGATTGATTTCCACCTCCAGGATGGAGAAGCTGTCTTCATTAAAGTATGGGGATTCTAATGGGGGGATATAGGTAGCACACAGGAGGACATTTTTCTCTGTTGAGATAATTTCCTTTTGAATTTCTAACCAAATGTAAAATGTTCCTGTTTTGATTAATTTAATAGAGTGAGTTAGGTCTGCTCTATACCAAATTAGCATACACCCTGAGTCCCTTCCCTGTTTCACACCTGGTAGTTTGGTGGATGGGACTACCAGCTCTCTGTAACCTAGAGGGCAACCAGTGGGTCCGTCTCCTCTATACCATGTTATACCATCTGTATTTCCGATTTCTTTGGAGAAGTCCAGATTCCTGCTCTTTAGGCCAAAGGCAGATGACCTCAGGCCTTGGATATTCCAGGATGAAATAGTGAAGGCTTTGTGTTCCATAAAGTGTCTAATGTTGTTGGTTGTTGGTCTCTCTCTCTCTCTCTCGCCTCTCTCTCTCTCTCTCTCTCTCTCTCTCTCTCTCTCTTCTCTATCTCCCTCCTCTCTCTCTCTCTCTCTTTCTCTCTCTCTCTCTCGTACAGGGAGCAGAGACTGACAGGGATTCTGGTGTTTGTTCTCACTGGAGTCTCCATCTTCCTGGCTCCCATTCTACAGGTCAGTCAAATATGATAATTTCCTCCGACCTAAACTAGGATTATGGATGAAGGATAACAGTGGCAGCGCCCCAAATCTTACCCTATTCCCTATATTGTGCACTACTTTTGACCAGAGACTTATGGACCCTGGTCAAAAGTAGTGCACTGAACAAGGAATATGATGCCAGTGTGTTTTCTATACCACCAAATGCCATTACAAGGGATCAACAGGATTATGTGTTGATGTTGTCTATGTAGTTTACATGTGTGTTCTCCCTCTGGTCCACCCACAGTTCATACCCATGCCAGTGCTCTATGGTGTGTTTCTCTACATGGGCGTGGCATCTCTCAGTGGCATTCAGGTATGCATAGACCAGAAAACAAAGTCGACAAATCAAATCAAATCATGCAATGCAAATAGTCCGGGTCGCCATTTCATTAGCTGTTCAGGAGTCTTATGGCTTGGGGGTAGAAGCTGTTTAGAAGCCTTTTGGACCTAGACTTGGCGCTCCGGTACCGCTTGCCGTGTGGTAGCAGAGAGAACAGTCTATGACTAGGGTGGCTGGAGTCTTTGACAATTTTTAGGGCCTTCCTCTGACACCGCCTGGTATAGAGGTCCTGGATGGCAGGAAGCGTGGCCCCAGTGTTGTACTGGACCGTACGCACTACCCTCTGTAGTGCCTTGCGGTCAGAGGCCGAGCAGTTGCCATACCAGGCAGTGATGCAACCAGTCAGGATGCTCGTGATGGTGCAGCTGTACAACTTTTTCAGGATCTGAGGACCCATGCCAAATCTTTTTATTCTCCTGAGGGGGAATAGGCTTTATCGTGCCCTCTTCATAACTGTCTTGGTGTGTTTGGACCATGATAGTTTGTTGGAGATGTGGACACCAAGGAACTTCAAGTTCTCAACCTGCTCCACTACAGCCACGTTGATGAGAATGGGGGCGTGCTCGGTCCTCTTTTTCCTGTAGTCCACAATCATCTCCTTCATCTTGATCACGTTGAGGGAGAGATTGTTATCCTGGCACCACACGGCCAGGTCTCTGACCTCCTCCCTATAGGCTGTCTCATCGTTGTCGGTGATCAGGCCTACCACTGTTGTGTCGTCAGCAAACTTAATGATGGTGTTGGAGTCGTGTCTGGCCATGCAGTCATGGTTGAACAGGGAGTACAGGAGGGGACTGAGCACGCACCCCTGAGGGGCCCCTGTGTTGAGGATCAGCGTGGCAGATGTGTTGTTACCTACCCTTACCACCTGGGGGCGGCCCGTCAGGAAGTCCAGGATCCAGTTGCAGAGGGAGGTGTTTAGTCCCAGGGTCCTTAGCTTAGTGATGAGCTTTGAGGGCCCTATGGTGTTGAACGCTGAGCTGTCGTCAATGAATAGCATTCTCATGTAGGTGTTCCTTTTGTCCAGGTGGGAAAGGGCAGTGTGGAGTGCAATAGAGATTGCATCATCTGTGGGTCGGTTGGGGCGGTATGCAAATTGGAGTGGGTCTAGGGTTTCTGGGATGATGTTGTTGATGTGAGCCATGACCAGCCTTTCAAAGCACTTCATGGCTACAGACGTGAGTGCTACGGGTCGGTAGTCATTTAGGCAGGTTACCTTAGTGTTCTTGGGGACAGGGACCATGGTGGTCTGCTTGAAACATGTTGGTATTACAGACTCAGTCAGGGACAGGTTGAAAATGTCAGTGAAGACACTTGCCAGTTGGTCAGCGCATGCTCGGAGTACACATCCTGGTAATCCGCCTGGCCCTGTGGCCTTGTGAATGTTGACCTGTTTAAAGGTCTTATGGAGGGCGAGGGCGAGGGCGAGGGCGAGGGAGAGCTTTGTACGCGTCTCTGTGTGTGGAGTAAAGGTGGTCTAGAGTTTTTTTTCCTCTAGTTGCACATTTAACTGGTGGTTTGTGTCAAATCAAAGTCTCATGGCATGGGGTTCTTACTCCGGCATGAATTTGAAATGTCATTACATTCTCTGTGATGTGGTTATTTTCCTTATGAGAATGTGTTTGTCTGGAGGGAAGGTAACTCTGTATTCTAGAAGCATCTAAGCAGCAATTGGAGGTGCATTTTGATGAGGGTGTTAGCTAGGCTGCTCAGAGTAGAGCTAGGGGCTCAGTGGGGGGCTCAGTGAGTCTGTCTGGACCTGTGTGTGTGTGTGTGTGTGTGTGTGTGTGTGTGTGTGTGTGTGTGTGTGTGTGTGTGTGTGTGTGTGTGTGTGTGTGTGTGTGTGTGTGTGTGTGTGTGTGTGTGTGTGTGTGTGTGTGTGTGTGTGTGTGTGTGTGTGGCGGGTTCCATGAAAGTATAAACGGAAATATGTGACAACAAGCTTATTGTCCTGAATCCATAAACAACTCTGTGTGGCTCGGTTGGTAGAGCATGGAGCTTGCAATGCTAGGGTTGTGGCCGTGGGTTTGATTTGACCAACCATATGAAAATGTATGCACGCATTACTGTAAGTCGCTTTGGATAAAAGTGTCTGCTAAATGGCATATATTACTTGGATAAAACCTCAGAAATGGGAATAATGCATGCAGTGATGTGTGTGTGTGTTTTCATTGTCCTCATTGTGTCTCCCCGTCACTCCTCTGTAGTTCTGGGAGAGGATCAAGTTGTACATGATGCCATCCAAGTACCAGCCAGACTTCCCTTTCCTGCGTCATGTGCCTCTGAGGAGGGTCCACCTCTTCACCCTGGTCCAGATCATCTGTCTGGCTGTCCTCTGGGTGCTCAAGTCCACCGTCCTGGCCATCCTCTTCCCTGTTATGGTATTATTCATGACTCGCTTTTGATTGGAACAAGCATTAATGCAGGGGTGTCAGACTCGTTCCATGGAGGGCAGAGTGTCTGCTGTTTTTTGCTATTTCCTTTCCATTTGTGTCTAATTAAGACCTAGACAAGCAGGTGAGGGGAGTTCTTACTAATAAATCACCTTAACTGATCAGTCAAGTACATGGGAGGAGCGAAAACTTGCAGACACTCAGCCCTCCATGGAATTAGTTTGACCCATGCATTAATGCATAAAAAAATATTACTTAGATGTATTACCAGCAGTCACAACGGCCGTGTTTCGGGATACATTTAAGCACCCATCAACATACAAATGACCTGATAGGATGTAAATGCTGGATACTTATGAATCCAAGATGGCGTAGCAGTGTGGTTGTGTTCTTTGTTGTGTGTCCGTGTAAATAGCCAGTTTTTTTGTATTTTTTGGTATTTTTCGTACATATTTCACTATCACACTTTTCATCCGTCTACTAAATATACTTTCCTGCAACCCACCTCACTCAATGTGGAACGGATTCTATTATTTACTCACCTTTATCTAGAATCTCCAGTTGAAACTAGCTAGCCAGCTAACTAGCTACTTGCTATTAGCCACCGTTAGCGGTTTTCACCCAGAACATCTGATTTTCTGCCGGAATAACTGAATCACTGGACCCTAACACCGGATTGCAACTAGCTAGCCGCAACCGAATGGATGTTACTGTAGGCTAATCACCACTGCCCCCGAAGCAAGCACCAGTTAGCCTTGAGCCAGGCCCATATCCTGGCTATCTACCTCTTTGTTTACCGGACGGGAGTAGCCAGCTAACTAGCTACAGTGGGGAAAATAAGTATTTAGTCAGCCACCAATTGTGCAAGTTCTCCCACTTAAAAAGATGAGAGATGCCTGTAATTTTCATCATAGGTACACGTCAACTATGACAGACAAAATGAGATTTTTTTTTTCCAGAAAATCACATTGTAGGATTTTTAATGAATTTATTTGCAAATTATGGTGGAAAATAAGTATTTGGTCAATAACAAAAGTTTCTCAATACTTTGTTATATATCCTTTGTTGGCAATGACACAGGTCAAACGTTTTCTGTAAGTCTTCACAAGGTTTTCACACATTGTTGCTGGTATTTTGGCCCATTCCTCCATGCAGATCTCCTCTAGATCAGTGATGTTTTGGGGCTGTCGCTGGGCAACACGGACTTTCAACTCCCTCCAAAGATTTTCTATGGGGTTGAGATCTGGAGACTGGCTGGGCCACTCCAGGACCTTGAAATGCTTCTTATGAAGCCACTCCTTCGTTGCCCGGGCGGTGTGTTTGGGATCATTGTCATGCTGAAAGACCCAGCCACGTTTCATCTTCAATGCCCTTGCTGATGGAAGGAGGTTTTCACTCAAAATCTTACGATACATGGCCCCATTCATTCTTTCATTTACACGGATCAGTCGCCCTGGTCCCTTTGCAGAAAAACAGCCCCAAAGCATGATGTTTCCACCCCCATGCTTCACAGTATGTATGGTGTTCTTTGGATGCAACTCAGCATTCTTTGTCCTCCAAACACGACGAGTTGAGTTTTTACCAAAAAGTTATATTTTGGTTTCATCTGACCATATGACATTCTCCCAATCCTCTTCTGGATCATCCAAATGCACTCTAGCAAACTTCAGACGGGCCTGGACATGTACTGGCTTAAGCAGGGGGACACGTCTGGCACTGCAGGATTTGAGTCCCTGGCGGCGTAGTGTGTTACTGATGGTAGGCTTTGTTACTTTGGTCCCAGCTCTCTGCAGGTCATTCACTAGGTCCCCCCGTGTGGTTCTGGGATTTTTGCTCACTGTTCTTGTGATCATTTTGACCCCACGGGGTGAGATCTTGCGTGGAGCCCCAGATCGAGGGAGATTATCAGTGGTCTTGTATGTCTTCCATTTCCTAATAATTGCTCCCACAGCTGATTTCTTCAAACCAAGCTGCTTACCTATTGCAGATTCAGTCTTCCCAGCCTGGTGCAGGTCTACAATTTTGTTTCTGGTGTCCTTTGACAGCTCTTTGGTCTTGGCCATAGTGTAGTTTGGAGTGTGACTGTTTGAGGTTGTGGACAGGTGTCTTTTATACTGATAACAAGTTCAAACAGGTGCCATTAATACAGGTAACGAGTGGAGGACAGAGGAGCCTCTTAAAGAAGAAGTTACAGGTCTGTGAGAGCCAGAAATCTTGCTTGTTTGTAGGTGACCAAATATTTATTTTCCACCATAATTTGCAAATAAATTCATAAAAAATCCTACAATGTGATTTTCTGGAGAAACAAATTCTCAATTTGTTTGTCATAGTTGACGTGTACCTATGATGAAAATTACAGGCCTCTCTCATCTTTTTAAGTGGGAGAACTTGCACAATTGGTGGCTGACTAAATACCTTTTTTCCCCACTGTACTTGCTATTAGCCACCGTTAGCGGTTTTCACCATTGTCCGTGGCCTGCACTACCTACCAGCCAGCTCTAGCCTGGACTATTATCGGTCAGTCTGCACTGTCTGCACAGCGCATTATCGACCCAGATCATATCGGATTTTCTGCCAGAATCACTAAATCACTGGACCTTTAACACCTGATCATCGCAACTAGCTAGCTGCAACCAATTGGATGTTGTTGTTGGCTAATCAGCCTTGAGCTAGCCTCGAGTTAGGCACATCTCCCGGCTATCTACCTCTCCGTCAACCGGACGGGACCTCCTAGAGTGGACACGGAGCCCCGCCGATCCATCACTACTGGTCTGCCGACGTAATCGTCTGTGGTTTCAACAGGCTTCCCGTTGCAACGACCACGAAGATCCATCTGCTAGCCCCGGCCTGCTAGCACACGCAAACAACAGCCGTGCTTCCTGCTCGCTGTGCTTTAGCACCAATTCGAACTGCTCTCGGACTCACATATTGCTGTTCACTGGACCTTATGATCACTCAGCTGCACAGCTAATGCCTGCTGGACTGTTCCTTTACACGGTACCCTGTCCTGTTTATCTCTTTAGCCTCAGCCCAAACTTTCATCACCATTACCAGTTGTTTTCTTAGCTCTCTCTAATAACACCTGTGATTGCTTTATGCCTCTCTCCCATGTCAATATGCCTTGCCTATTGCTGTTCCAGTTAGTTCTTATTATACAATTTCAGTATAGAACCCCAAGTCATTCTCAAACTGCCTCAAATAGCTCCTTTGTTCCACCCCCCATACACGCCGAGACCGGCTCAATCGGTGCCTCCAGTGATGCTATCTCTTTCATTGTTACCCAGCGCTTAGGTTTACCTCCACTGTACTCATATCCTTCCATATCCTTGTCTGTACATAATGCCCTGAATCTATTCTACAACGCCCGGAAATCTGCCCCCTTTATTCTCTGTACCCAACGCACTAGAAGACCAGTTCTTAAAGCCTTTAGCCGTATCCTTATTCTAGTCCTCCTCTGTTCTTCTGATGATGTAGAGGCTAACCCAGGCCCTGCAGCCCCCAGTATCACTCCTACTCCCCAGGAGTTATCATTTGTTGACTTCTGTAACCCTAAAAGCCTTGGTTTTCTGCACGTTAACATCAGAATCCTCCTTCCTAAGTTTGAGTTATTCACTGCGTTAGCACACTCCGCCAACCCTGATGTTCTAGCAGTGTCTGAATCCTGGCTTAGGAAGGCCACCAAAAATTCAGAAATGTCCATCTCCCAACTACAACATTTTCCGTCTAGATAGAACTGACAAAGGGGGTGGAGTTGCAATCTACTGTAGAGATAACTTGCAGAGCTCTATTGTACTGTCCAGGTCTGTGCCCAAACAGTCCACCTTTCCAGAAAAAAGTATCTCACTGTTGCCGCTTGCTACAAACCCCCCTCAGCCCCCAGCTGTGCCCTGGACACCATATGTAAATTGAGTTCGTACTGCTTGGTGACCTAAACTGGGATATGCTTAACACCCCGGCCATCCTACAATCCAAACTAGATGCCCTCAATCTCACACAAATTATCAAGGAACCTACCAGGTACAACCCTAAATCCGTAAACATGGGCACCCTCATAGATATCATCCTGACTAATTTACCCTCTAAATACACCTACGCTGTCTTCAACCAGGATCTCAGCGATCACTGCCTTATTGCCTGCGTCCGTAACGGGTCCGCAGTCAAACGACCACCCCTCATCATTGTCAAACGCTCCCTAAAACACTTTAGCGAGCAGGCCTTCCTAATTGACCTGGCCCAGGTATCCTGGATGGATATCGATCTCATTCCGTCAGTAGAGGATGCCTGGTTGTTCTTTAAAAGTGCTTTCCTCTCAATCTTAAATAAGCATGCCCCATTCAAAAAATTCAGAACTAAGAACAGATATAGCCCCTGGTTCTCCTCAGACTTGACTGCCCTTGACCAGCACAAAAACATCCTGTGGCGTACTGCATTAGCATCGAATAGCCCCCGCAATATGCAACTTTTCAGGGAAGTTAGGAACCAATATACACAAGCAGTTAGGAAAGCAAAGGCTAGCTTTTTCAAACAGAAATGTGCATCCTGTAGCACTAACTCCAAAAAGTTTTGGGACACTGTAAAGTCCATGGAGAATAAGAGCACCTCCTCCCAGCTGCCCACTGCACTGAGGCTAGGAAACACTATCACCACCGATAAATCTACAATAATCGAGAATGTCAACAAGCAGTTTGCTACAGCTGGCCATGCTTTCCACCTGGCTCCCACTACCCCGGCCACCAGCTCTGCACCCTCCGCTTCAACTTGCCCATGCCCCCCCACGCTTCTCCTTCACACAAATTCAGACAGCTGATGATCTGAAAGAGCTGCAAAATCTGGACTAGACAATCTGGACCCTTTCTTTCTAAAAATAGCAGCCGAAATTGTTGCAACCCCTATTACTAGCCTGTTCAACCTCTCTTTCGTAACGTCTGAGATCCCCAGAGATTGGAAAGCTGCCGCGGTCATCCCTCTCTTCAAAGGGGGAGACACTCTAGATCCAAACTGTTACAGACCTATATCCATCCTGCCCTGCCTTTTGAACGTTTTTGAAAGCCAAGTTAACAAACAGATCACCGACCATTTCGAATCCCATCGTACCTTCTCCGCTATGCAATCCGGTTTCCGAGCTGGTCATGGGTGCACCTCAGCCACGCTCGAGGTCCTAAACGACATTATAACCGTGATCGATAATAGACAGTACTGTGCAGCCGTCTTCATCGACCTGGCCAAGGCTTTCGACTCTGTCAACCACCGCATTCTTATTGGCAGACTAAATAGCCTTGGTTTCTCAAAGGACTGCCTCGCCTGGTTCACCAACTACTTCTCAGATAGAGTTCAATGTGTCAAATCGGAGGGCCTGTTGTCTGGACCTATGGCAGTCTCTATGGGGGTGCCACAGGGTTCAATTCTTGGGCCGACTCTTTTCTCCGTGTATATCAATGATGTCGCTCTTGCTGCTGGTGACTCTCAGATCCACCTCTACGCAGACGACACCATTTTGTATACATCTGGCCCTTCATTGGACACTGTGTTAACAAACCTCCAAACCAGCTTCAATGCCATACAACACTCCTTCCGTAGCCTCCAACTTCTCTTAAACACTAGTAAAACTAAATGCATGCTCTTCAATCGAACGCTGCTGGCACCCGCCCACCCGACTAGAATCACTACTCTCGACGGGTCTGACCTAGAGTATGTGGACAACTACAAATACCTAGGTGTCTGGTTAGACTGTAAACTCTCCTTCCAGACTCACATTAAGCATCTCCAATCCAAATTGAAATCTAGAATCAGCTTCCTATTTCGCAACAAAGCCTCCTTCACTCATGCTGCCAAACATGCCCTCGTAAAACTGACTATCCTACCGATCCTTGATTTCGGCGATGTCATTTACAAAATAGCCTCCAACACTCTACTCAGCAAATTGGATGTAGTCTATCACAGTGCCATCCGTTTTGTCACCAAAGCCCCATATACTACCCACCACTGTGACCTGTACGCTCTCGTTGGCTGGTCCTCACTACATATTCGTCGCCAAACCCACTGGCTCCAGGCCATCTATAAATCACTGCTAGGCAAATCCCTGCCTTATCTTAGCTCATTGGTCACCATAGCAACACCCACCCGTAGTATGCGCTCCAGCAGGTGTATCTCACTGGTCATCCCCAAAGCCAACACCTCCTTTGGCCGCCATTCCTTCCAGTTCTCTGCTGCCAATGACTGGAACGAACTGCAAAAATCTCTGAAGCTGGAGACTCTTATCTCCCTCACTAACTTTAAGCATCAGTTGTCTGAGCACCTTACCGATCACTGTACTTGTACACAGCCCATCTGAAATTAGCCCACCCAACTACCTCATCCCCATATTGTTATTTATTTTTCTAATTTGCACCCCAGTATCTCTATTTGCACATCATCTTTTGCACATCCATCACTCCAGTGTTAATACTAATTGTAATTATTTAGCACTATGGCCTATTTATTGCCTTACCTCCATAACTTGCTACATTCGCACACACTGTATATATATTTTCTGTTGTATTTTTGACTGTATGTTTTGTTTACCCCATCTGTAACTCTGTGTTGTTGTTTTTATCGCACTGCTTTGCTTTATCTTGGCCAGGTCGCAGTTGTAAATGAGAACTTGTTCTCAACTGGCTTACCTGGTTAAATAAAGGTGAAATAAATAAATAAAAAATGCTGGTTACTTATGATGTAAATGCTGGTTACTTATGATGTAAATGCTGGTTACTTATGAAGAGCTTTACTTGAATCTTCTTTCGTGTTGATGTTATTTTCTTGTCCCAGAAGTTGAGGATAGTGATCATGTGCTTGTGCGGCCATCAGATCCTGGGGTTGCTTGTGGTGCGTAAGATGCTGGACATGGTGTTCTCTCAACACGACCTGGCCTGGATAGATGATATCCTGCCTGGGAAAGACAAGAAAAAGGAGAAGAAGAAGAAGAAGGGTGATAAAGATGACATGAAGAAGAAAGACAAGAAGAAAGGGAGAGCAGAAGACAGCGAAGACGAGGTGAGAAATGTTAGGTTTTACTGTCACCAACTGGCTGATTTAGAGAAAAACAATCCTTGCTAAATAATGTATTTCTGATGGCTGTGTTTTGTGTGTGTGTGTGGGTGTGTTTGTTTTGTATGTGTGTGCATGTGTGTGTTTGTATACAGGAAAAGTACCACGCGTACTCCAACTGCTCGCCCAGCTCTGAGTCTGACGTGGACCGCAGGTACTGTGTGCTCAAACTACACGTCCCCTACAGTGACCTCCTTCAGCCCGCTGACGCCCAGTCACAGTGGGCTGCTCACTGCCAGCCAGGCAAATACTTCCCCTAATTCATAGATTACATAGACATTAAACATCAGCCTGGCAGATATAAGCAGACACAGAGAAACATGCACGCACGCACACACACACACAGCATCCATAATTCCACACATAATTTCTCACAGACACAGTATTCCGTAGTGTTCTGTCATGGCTGGGCTGAAGTATAAGCTATATCTCAGAGAATATGCCTTCATACCCTTCTCTCCATGCACTTTAATGCAATGCAGATGTTATTTGAGGTTTGCTAAGCAGCCCTTGCTGCTATTTTCCCTGCACTCCTATGTGTTGCGTTATGAAAACGAGTTGTGTAATTTTGTGTCAATGTGTCTCGATATGTGTACACACATCACAGGCACATGCATGTGCATAATTCCAACACACTAGTCATACACTATTTCCTATGTATTCTTACATCCTACTTTTAAGGCACTGGCTTGGTTTATATTCTGTAGAAATGTGTGGCATATTTGAATAGATGAATAAAAGTTTTACATTCTATCTGTATGTAGCAGATAGCAGTATTTGAGAGTGAACAGTGTTTGGTGCACTGTGACCTCATACCACATGCATCAGGCCTTTCTCCAAGTTTTTGGTTGTTTCTTTTTCCTCCGTGTGTTGTTGTATGTACCCAATAATCTAGAAGTCTATCGATGGGTCCCATTCACAAACACCACTGTTTTGTTCTTAGTTGTGTCTTCATCCCGTATAGTTGAATATTCCTCTCCCCTCTTTCCTTTTAGTCATGTTATCTGCATGTTATCTTTGACTCCTTATATCAAATAGAAACTATGATCAAATTCATGTCTGCATTGCTTTTAAGGAAGCATGGTTCAGTATAGGCCTACATATTTGCTAATAATTTTTCTGAAGACTGTGAAATTAGCAGAGGGGAAACTGCAACATAAGGAGAATGTTTGTTTCTTTTACTGTTAGTTTTGCATTTATGCTTCACAAACTGTGCGTTGCATTCCTCCCCACATCTCACATTCCCCATAGGGTGCGAACTAAACCGCAGAAAGGCTTGGAACACTACGGCATAAAGAACAGACATCAATCACATTTGACAGCTAGCCTAACTCTCTGTCATGTTGTTTCACTTTAGTTTGCCCAACCTCTCCTCTAGTCTAGTTCACTCTCTGGTACTTTGCACCAGCTCCAGATTACATCTCACTACTGACTCCCTCCCTGTCTAGCCCAAGGTTACCTTCCCCTCTCCTGTCTCCAGTCCCCCCTCCCTTCTGTGTTTCTTGCCTCTCACTGTGTATGTCATGTTTGTCATTTAGCAGACTCTGTTATCCAAAACGACTTACAGTAGTGCATGTATACATTTTCGAATGGGTGGCCCCAGAGAGAATCGAACCCATCTAAACCACACAGGACATACATACAGGTATGTATGATATGAATGATAACTGGGACTTGCCGTTCCTCAGCATCACCCTGCATCTGAAGATCTCCTGCCCCTCGTCCCCGGCGGTCCCTATGGCCCATGGCCGTGGCATGGCCTTCCCCGTGCCCCAGGTGAAGATCGAGATGGAGTCGGACTACGACACAGACACTGACCACCCCCGCCACAGGGACATGAGCAGCGAAACAACGCTGTAGGCAGTGACTACTGTGTGACAGAGCACAGGCATATGTGGGTCGACCGCAGACGCTGTACAGTACATAGCTGTAGAGCGCTGACCCACTCACACACTAAGACTCTTCTAGAATGCCTGCAGAGGACAGTACAAGGTGGCATGGACTAACAGCATATGACATCTAATGTAAAGAAATTAGCTGCTGGGAATACATGTACAAGGAATAACTTAGCTTGAATGTACAGTATATTTTTACTTGATCTGATTCCTCATATAGCTGTCCATTTTGATGTGTCCAAAATTCGAGCAACAGCTTCTGCTTTTAAACTGTCATAGATATCTCTGTTGAGAACATGTTGACTGTATAATCTTCAGGACACACGTAGCTTTAGAAACAACGTAGAGGGATATAGGAGAAAGGGGGAGTGAAGGATCTCCTCTATATGTGCTGTATATGAGAATATATTTTGTGTCAAGATATTTATATAAAGATATATATATACAGTTGAAGTTGGAAGTTTACATACACCTTAGCCAAATACATTTAAACTCAGTTTTTCACAATTCCTGACATTTAACCCCGTCTTAGGTCAGTTAGGATCACCACTTCATTTTATGAATGTGAAATGTCAGAATAATAGTAGAGAGAATTATTTATTTCAGCTTTTATTTCACATTCCCAGTGGGTCAGAAGTTTACATACACTCAATTAGTATTTGGTAGCATTGCCTTTAAATTGTTTAACTTGGGTCAAACGTTTCGGGTAGCCTTCCACAAGCTTCCCACAATAAGTTGGGTGAATTTTGGCCCATTCCTCCTGACAGAGCTGGTGTAACTGAATCAGGCTTGTAGGCCTCCTTGCTCGCCCTCGCTTTTTCAGTTCTGCCCACAAATATTCTATAGGATTGAGGTCAGGGCTTTGTGATGGCCACTCCAATACCTTGACTTTGTTGTCCTTAAGCCATTTTGCCACAACTTTGGAAGTATGCTTGGGGTCATTGTCCATTTGGAAGACCCATTTGCGACCAAGCTTTAACTTCCTGACTGATGTCTTGAGATGTTGCTTCAATATATCCACATAATTTTCCTTCCTCATGATGCCATCCATTTTGTGAAGTGCACCAGTCCCTCCTGCAGCAAAGCACCCCCACAGCATGATGCTGCCACACCCGTGCTTCACGGTTGGGAGGGTGTTCTTCGGCTTGCAAGCCTTCCCCTTTTTCCTCCAAACATAACAATGGTCATTATGACCAAACAGTTTTATTTTTGTTTCATCAGACCAGAGGACATTTCTCCAAAAAGTAAGATATTTTTCCCCATGTGCAGTTGCAAACCGTAGTCTGGCTTTTTTATGGCGGTTTTGGAGCAGTGGCTTCTTCCTTGCTGAGCTGCCGTTCAGGTTATGTCGATATAGGACTCGTTTTACTGTGGATATAGATACTATTGTACCTGTTTCCTCCAGCATCTTCACAAGGTCCTTTGCTGTTGTTCTGGGATTGATTTGCACTTTTCGCACCAAAGTACGTTCATCTCTAGGAGACAGAATGCGTCTCCTTCCTGAGCAGTATGACGACTGCGTGGTCCCATGGTGTTTATACTTGCGTATTATTGTTTGTACAGATGAACGTGGTACCTTCAGGCGTTTGGAAATTGCTCCCACGGATGAACCAGACTTGTGGAGATCTACAATTTTTTTTCTGAGGTCTTGGCTGATTTCTTTTGATTTACCCATGATGTCAAGCAAAGAGACACTAAGTTTGAAAGTAGGCCTTGAAATACATCTACAGGTACACCTCCAATTGACTCAAATGATGTCAATTAGACTATCAGAAGCTTCTAAAGCCATGACATCAGTTTCTGGAATTTTCCAAGCTGTTGAAAGGCACAGTCAACTTGGTGTATGTAAACTTCTGATCCACTGGAATTGTGATACAGTGAATTATAAGTGAAATAATCTGTCTGTAAACAATTGTTGGAAAAATTACTTGTGTCATGCACAAAGTAGATGTCCTAACCGACTTGCCAAAACTATAGTTTGTTAACAAGAAATGTGTGGAGTGGTTGAAAAACAAGTTTTAATGACTCCAACCTAAGTGTATGTAAACTTCCGACTTCAACTGTGTGTGTGTATATATATATATATATAGTATTTATTTTTCACAGTTTGTTCATACAGAGATATACTCTGAGTTTACAAAACATTAGGAACACTTTCCTGATATTGAGTTGCACCCCTTTTTGCCCTCAGAATAGCCTCAATTCGTTGGGGCATGGACTCTAATTTTTTGGGGCACTGAGTACATTTCAGGTCTGCTGAGCGCAAACTTGAATGTTGTGAAAATTTTGTTTACTATAAACACTGAGGCTGTACCTGCTTTAAGTTCCAGTTTCAGACAGTGGTCAAGTAGGCTCCTGTGGCTATTTGATCATCATTTAGGCCTACCAGAGTGGGCTACCATAAAAAACAATGGATAAAATGCATCCCATAACATTTTAACATGGAAATAGCTGTTCTATCATTCAGCCTACAATAGCAGCCAATGTGTGGTGTTCATTGTAGGCCTACATTCCATGACTTTTGAAAAAAACATGCAGGGCTTGACATTATCCTGTTTATCCACTTGTCCTTCAGACAAGGAAGTGACTGAAAATGTTGTTGTGTTGTTTGATGCAAGAAACCACTTTACAAAATAAAATGCATTATTATTCCCATACCATTATTACAGAAAAACAGAGAAATTATGCTACCCTCTGCCTATTGGCTACTTAGCTTATTCAAGCCTGTCTCAAAATACAACACTGCCCCTTTAAGACAAAAAAAAGCTCTTTACCTGACTTGCTTTTCAAAGACGTCTAGAAATGTACATGTTTTGTGCTCTTGTGGGAAGCAATCACTCCCCCATTGCTAACTACGAATTAGCTATAACTGGGCTAATAACTCACTAACTAGCAAAGGATATGACCAAATGTGCCCACGTGGCTACATGCAGCTCTGGCTTTGATCGCAAAACAAGCGCATCTACTCACGACCACTCATGCTGTAAACACAGTCATATGTTTGTGTAGAGTACGGGCTGAGTGGTGAGTATCAATGCAATAGAATCCTACTCCAATGCTTTCTGCCTAAAACTAAATCTCTTGCATACTTAGCTTTGCATACTTGCATAGTTCGTTTTGTTTCGGTATGTTGCATTGAAAGTGGCTAATATTGCGTTGATTCGATCACAATTCCCACGGTAATGGAAAACTTTTGATAGTGTTAACTAAGGGGGAAAACTCTAGAAAACGGAGTGAAGTTCAATCTCCTCCTCTGCGCGGGCTGATATTTCTTCTGCACACACGCGCAGCATAGAGGGAACATTGTCTACAAGATGTCGAAAGCGTTCCACAGGGATGCTGGCACATGTTGACTCCAATGTTTCCCACATTTGTGTGAATTTGGCTGGATGTCCTTTGGGTGGTGGACCATTCCTGATACACACAGGAAACTGTTGAGCGTGAAAAACCCAGCAGGGTTACAGTTCTTGACACAAACCGGTGCACCTGGCACCTACTACCATGGTTCAAAGGCACTTAATACATATTTTGTCTTGCCCATTCACCCTCTGAATGGCACACATACACAATCCATGCCTCAAGGCTTAAAAATCCTTCTTTAACCTCTCCTCCCCTTCATCTACACTGGTTGAAGTGGATTTAACAGGTGACATCAATAAGGGATCATAGCTTTCACCTGGATTCACCTTGTCAGTCTATGGCTTGGAAAGAGCAGGTGTTCTTAATGTTTTATACACCCAGTGTATAGTAAGTATAAAGTATAAGGTCCAGGATAACTTTAAGTGCAATCGAGAATTTCAATGTCAGTGATTGTAAAAATGGCCTGCCTTTTCATGTGACAAATGAGTTCTTGAATATCCTTCTTTAGTAGAAAAAAAAGTGTTTTGGCTGTGTGTGTGTGTTTTGAGAGGTTGTATGGTGCATCTCTTCTGTTAGCAAACTAGCTTTCCTATTCCCTGTTCCCTCTTGTGTTTTCAAGCCACTGGAAAAAAGAAACAACCCAAAAATTTGAATTGACAACAAAAGAGGAATGCACATAGAGGGGCAATAAATTGATTAACAATTATCGTTTATTAAATTCATTATTATAAATACTATGTACAAACTGTATTCTTGAGATATTTGGTGTGTAAATATGTTGTTGAACCTTTCAATATTATTGATTTTACCAATACAGAGATATGCTTGTGCATTATTGTTTTCTAAAAATATATTACTGATGTACTAAGATAACTACAGCTATGAATTTATTTATATTACTTACATTATGTATAAAGTTTACAGCATTTAAAATATCATATTTCTGTGAACAAGAAGCAAGCCCACTAGAAGTAAGGTTTAAAGGTGAAAGCTCAGGTTTTCTTCACTAGTGTCTATTGACTTTTGGATATGTAATACCACTACCTAGACAAAAGACCATTCGATTCACAGGCTACACATATTTTTTATGGACATTATGTTTTAGAAAAGATAGGAATAATTGTGACACTGTGTAATGAAGTTTGTAGTGAGGTATTATGTAGAAGTGGTGAAGAGCCTCTCTATGTTCCTAATGTCTATCATGTTTCCTCTCCACAACTATTTTTTCGCACATGCGATAATCTCCACAATAAGCAGATATCCAGACAAGTTATACGAACATACACAAATACATATGGACCAGCAGCATTAAGTTACATTCTGTAGAAGAGACATCCCTGAGTCACTGGTGAAGCCTTCTGCGAAGCCCTATCCCTCGACCAAGGTGGGCTTCTTGTTGCACATGGGGCACAGTTTGTTCCTCTCCTGTGAGGACCTCATCCAGACAATGAGGTTCCAGCGCTGGCCAGAGGAGATGGGCATGTGTTGTACTCTGTGGAGAAGACCCTCTGTCACTCTCTGCTCTACCTCCGTACACGCTCTCACTCAGAGGCACCTGCAGGGTCAGGAAAAACAATATTAACCACTGAGCCACACTAGACTAACAATGAGAACGTTTACTCATAGGGCTGTGGCGACTTTTGTTTGTGCAACTAACTCTTCTGGGAGATTTCACAATCTGAAATATAACAGTGTGTAACCTGTGTAAACTGGCATGGTTTTAAAACCACAGTGTGCGGAATCAATGAGAGATAGTATGAATCTAAACCAAGAGCCCTGCTTTATTTGTTATTTCATTCTACATAAGGTCAATTCATACATTTCAATATCTATAATAATGGGATATTGTGTTATTACACTTCCGAATCTGGCTCTGACTAGGTACCTGTCTCATGTCACCAAAGTAGAGGTTCCCTTCAGTGAACTCTTTCTGCAGAGACACGTTGCGAGTGACCTCTGCGTTGTCGTAGTGGTAGCTGAGGTCCAGGTCTTCATGCATGTCGTATTTCACTATGAAGGCCTTGTGGCTGTTTAGGCAGCGTCCCCCACATTCAGGGTAGAGCAGAGATGTGAGAGGCTGCAGATACTGCTCACGGAGAGGGGTAGTGAAGCCATCGTCAAACCCTAGCTCGTTCAGAAGGATCTGTGTGGACAAAAGATAATCACAAACAAAATGAACATGAGTTACCACAGGTAACCCTTGATACATTGAGCATTTTGCCTGAAGTCTCCATATCTAATAGCCTCCAGATTTATTTTATATGAAAGAGGAAGCATACCCCGTAGTTATTCATTGTGTTGGGTCTGCCATTGGGCACTGTAGACTGTTCAAAGTGTTCCATCTCTTCTATCAGCTCATCACAGAAGCTTTTTTTAAACACAGGAAAGCACGAGATCTTTGACTTCAAAAAATGAAAAATAATGACATGCATCACCTATTTCAAATAGGAACTCTATGGAAAACTCAACTGCTTCTGTCTGCATTAAACTCAATAATCCACCATCTGCTTAAACTCTGGAGCCAGATAGGACTCCTGAAGAGATAGTGTAAGTCAAATATTACACTGTACAGTCTTAGTGTGTATGGAGACTACAGTATTGCAGGCTTTCTTCCTACCTGTAGATGGTAGACATGGTCATGAAGGGGTTTATAAATCTCCTTTATGGCAACAGCTCTCTCAGCTGACTTCACACCAAGGCTCTGGCGCCTTTGAATTTCTTTGGCAATCTAGAAAGGAAACATTTAACCACATATTAAAATGGAATTATCCTTCAGTAGTGTCTCTAGACATCCGCGTTGCCTCCCACAATTTTCCAACGCTCTGGTTTTCGAGATTAATAATTCAGTACAATTTTAATAACATACTCAAAATGCGTGCTTGCCTTTGTCAGGATATCCTTGAACTGTGTGTTAGTGGAGCAGCCAAGCTTTCTTAAAACCTGTTACGCAAACAGAAGTTTGGTTACTAAAAGTTTGGTTTCTAGCTAGCTATTACGTTTATCCAACAAGATGCTTTACCATGACAATTCTTTGCAGATCTACTGTACTGGCTAGTTAGCTAGTAGTAGATACCCACCGCTTGATAATTCGTTCTAACTGCTGCTCGGATAGAAATCTGGCATGAAGTTTGAACTCCTCAAGGAAAATATTGTCCGTGCTAAAACAAATACAGGTGTAAACATTTGCGTTACGATCCTTATCGTTTTGCATGACTTTCCTATGAAGATAATACAAATCAACGTATTAACGTTATAGGAAGATTCATAATAAAAAAAGCTAGTAGTTAAAAGAGAGCGTACGAGGAGCTATCAAAAGCAGTTATGGTATTGCTTCCGGATTTTGAGTTGTTTGTTGTGATCCAACGTTGTTATGTGTCCGATGTGAACCGATACTCTTAGCATTTAGTTTCCAAGGTATGTAATCAACAAAACTGCTTAAATAGAGACACATTGCTAAATATAACATTTCACAATATTAAACAGTACTCAATTATTTAAATGTGTGGCCATTTTTCTTGGTGTAAAATTTATTAAAGAAGAACGGTAAAAAAAAAAAAAAAATCGAGTTGTGTTTCCGCGTGCGTCAACATAAATCGTCCGTTCTCTGAATACCAAGGCAACATGCGAATCTCCTCCGTTGATTCATTCTTTAGCTAGTTCTTCTTTTGTCATATTTGTTTGCACGTAAGTCGGTTTCTCCTTCCATTATATAATTTGGCTTGCATATTTTACGTAGTTTGAGGTCCATTTCGCTGCAGAGATGTTGAGTGTGGACTCGTTGCAAGTGGTGGCTGAAGAGGAGGTGGTGGAGTCGAGCTCAAACCGCTTGGGTGACATCTACACGTTTGTGGCCGAGGGCTGCTACCCCCAGACAATGAATCCCATACGAAAGAAGAATCTCAAAAGATATGCTCAGAAATTCATCATTGATGGTAAAAAAAGACAGAAAGAGAAAATGCTTGTGAAGTAGAGGGATCTGAAACGTGTGCAGTTGAATGTAGCCTAGTGTGTCTTTCAAATGGCATGTTTAATTTAATGTTGTCTGTGTGGTTGTGTCGTCCTAGAGGGTCGACTGTACTATGTGGGGCCCAAGAAGGAGGAGAAGCGAGAGGTTGTGATTGAAGCCGAACGTAAGAGGCAGATATTCCTGGAGTGCCACTTTAATGACATTGGTCATCACCTGGGACAGAAGAAGACTGTTCACAGGATCCAGAGCAAGTATTACTGGCTGGGTATTGTAAAAGATGTCGTGGACTGGGTATGTGTGTTTCTTTGGAGTTCAGTTTAAAACAGTAATACAGCTTGGAGGCATACATTCATTCTTCTTACAAATTGTGTTTGTGCATTTGTCTGTCTCAGATAAAGGTATGTGAAACCTGTCAACACACAGAGAGAAACAAAAACATGACAAGGACTGTTCGGCCAATCAAAGTGGATGCTCCCTGGGAAATTCTAGGGATTGATATATTTGGTAAATAAACTCTTCGAAAATGTATCAGAAAATGAAACTACTCGGCTAGTCTCACAACAATAGATGAACTAAGAGTACAAATGTTTGTCTGACTTTGTTGAATTTGTTCATGTTTTCACCAGGGCCCTTCCAAAAAACCCAGCAAGGTAATTCCAGCGTGGTAATCATCACAGATTACTTCAGCAAGTGGGTGGAGGCGTTCCCCATTCAAAAAAGAGATGCCCTCTCTGTTGCCAGATGTATATCTACATCCATTTACAGGTAATTCAACACACACACACTTTCATCTTGATTTGACAATTATTTGCGAGATACAACCATCATCACCAACATGAGTGGAGCACTATATATTTTCCCTACCAGGTTTGGAGCAGCAAAAACAGTTATCTCCACACAAAGCGTTGACTTTTGTGATGAGGTAAGACATTATTAGCCTGTTTCTATTTACAAGCTCTTAAAGTAACTGTCCAGTGGAAATCGCACTTTTAAAAGTTAATATTCTGTTAACTCGTACCCAAATAATGTTGACTCATTCTATACTTATGTCTGAGGCCAAAGCATACATTTGAGAAAAAATAACTTTCAAAACTCCCAGCTTAAACTTGTATCTCAAACAGACTGTTTCAAAAATGCTTGCTATTTTCTCATAGAACATGACGTCCTGTTGGCTCATTGGCTGAGCTGACCAAGCAGCGGTCTACTCGCGTTCATATTTTTAATGACCAGTTTACGCCCACACTATTCTGTTGTTGGGGTACGCCCACACCATTCAAACACAGAAAAGCTGCTAGAATTGTTTAAATATATATACACAGTGGGAAGAACAAGTGTTTGATACGCTGCCGATTTTGCAGGTTTTCCTACTTGCAAAGCATGTAGAGGTATGTAATTTTTATCATTAGGTACACTTCAACTGTGAGAGGCGGAATCTAAAACAAAAATCCAGAAAATCACATTGTATGATTTTTAAGTAATTAATTTGCATTTTATTGCATGACATAAGTATTTGATACATCAGAAAAGCAGAACTTAATATTTGGTACAGAAACCCTTGTTTGCAATTACAGAGATCATACGTTTCCTGTAGGTCTTGACCAGGTTTGCACAAACTGCAGCAGGGATTTTGGCCCACTCCTCCATACAGACCTTCTCCAGATCCTTCAGGTTTCGGGGCTGTCGCTGGGCAATACGGACTTTCAGCTCCCTCCAAAGATGTTCTATTGGGTTCAGGTCTGGAGACTGGCTAGGCCACTCCAGCACCTTGAGATGCTTCTTACGGAGCGTCGTTTTCATGCTGGAAGACCCAGCCACGACCCATCTTCAATGCTCTTACTGAGGGAAGGAGGTTGTTGGCCAAGATCTTGCGATACATGGCCCCATCCATCCTCCTCTCAATACGGTGCAGTCGTCCTGTCCCCTTTGCAGAAAAGCATCCCCAAAGAATGATGTTTCAACCTCCATGCTTCACGGTTGGGATGGTGTTCTTGGGGTTGTACTCATCCTTCTTCTTCCTCCGAACACGGCGAGTGGAGTTTAGACCAAAAGGTCTATTTTTGTCTCATCAGACTACATGACCTTCTCCCAATCCTCCTCTGGATCATCCAGATGGTCATTGGCAAACTTCAGACGGGCCTGGACATGCGCTGACTTGAGCAGGGGGACCTTGCGTGCGCTGCAGGATTTTAATCCATGACGGCGTAGTGTGTTACTAATGGTTTTCTTTGAGACTGTGGTCCCAGCTCTCTTCAGGTCATTGACCAGATCCTGCCGTGTAGTTCTGGGCTGATCCCTCACCTTCCTCATGATCATTGATGCCCCACGAGGTGAGATCTTGCATGGAGCCCCAGACTGAGGATGATTGACCGTCATCTTGAACTTCTTCCAATTTCTAATAATTGCGCCAACAGTTGTTGCCTTCTCACCAAGCTGCTTGCCTATTGTCCTGTAGCCCATCCCAGCCTTGTGCAGGTCTACAATTTTATCCCTGATGTCCTTACACAGCTCTCTGGTCTTGGCCATTGTGGAGAGGTTGGAGTCTGTTTGATTGAGTGTATGGACAGGTGTCTTTTATACAGGTAACGAGTTCAAACAGGTGCAGTTAATACAGGTAATGAGTGGAGAACAGGAGGGCTTCTTAAAGAAAAACTAACAGGTCTGTGAGAGCTGGAATTCTTACTGGTTGGTAGGTGATCAAATACTTATGTCATGCAATAAAATGCAAATTAATTACTTAAAAATCATACAATGTGATTTTCTGGATTTTTGTTTTAGATTCCGTCTCTCACAGTTGAAGTGTACCTATGATAAAAATTACAGACCTCTACATGCTTTGTAAGTAGGAAAACCTGCAAAATCGGCAGTGTATCAAATACTTGTTCTCCCCACTGTATGTGTATATATATATATATATATATAACCACAAATAGGTGCCAAGTTTGCATAAAAAATCAATGTCCAGGCACTTGTGTGGGTTTGCAAGTTAAAAAGCCTTTAATATGTGGGCTAAGTCATTATTAAAATACATCAACACTTATCGGCTAATGCCTTCATCAGGGTGTCATATACAATTTATATAGGTCAAAGGTACAGAAAAGCTGCTTTTTAACATACTTAATAATTTTTTTAAGGAAAACTATTTCACTCATATTGTATAGATCATATTTCATAGAAATCTGGAAACTCTGGACAGTTACTTTAAACAGAATTGAGTGGATAGGCTGATATCAACATTGCCCTTGTAATGTGTTGCTTCCAGGTGACCAAGCACCTGTGTAACAGGTGGAACGTAGTGCAGAGAGTGTCTGCTGTAGAGTTGAACCCGCTACACGACCGCAGCAGTGGCCTACTGAAGGAGGCCATCACACAGGTGGTGGCAGAGAAGCAGGCAGAGTGGGACGATTTCCTGGACCCTGTCTTATGTCTGTTTAGGACAACCGTCAACCCCACAACCAAGTTCACACCCTATTCACTCATGTTTAACAGGAAAACCATTTTACCTAGTGAGGTGAGATATTTTCTAGTTTTTTAAAGACATTTAATTGCGTTATTACTCTGTCTTAGATATTGTTAATGTTGACTTATTAATTGAAAATGTGTTTTGTCAAGACTGACCAAGAGACGGATTTGCATCACTCTAAGGAAGAGGCCTCTGCTTGTATGACAGTGATGCAGGAGCAGCAGAACTCTGTCAAGCAACTGGTGAGTTTGAATTAGAAATGGAATTTCTTGCCGTTTGGGAGACGCTGTGCTACACTGCTTCAATGCTGACTTACTTGACTTAAAACCCTATTGCTCTTTGCGGAGCATAGGTCATCATATGACATACAGTTAATAATAAAGTTGAAGTCTGAAGTTTACATACACCTTAGCCAAATACATTTAAACTCAGTTTTTCACAATTCCTGACATTTAATCCTAGTTAAAATTCATTTAACCCTGTCTTAGGTCAGTTAGGATCACCACTTTTATTTTAAGAATGTGAAATGTCAGAATAATAGTAGAGCGAATGATTTATTTCAGCTTTTATTTCTTTCATCACATTCCCAGTGGGTCAGAAGTTTACATACACTCAATTAGTATTTGGTAGCATTGTCTTTAAATTGTTTAACTTGGGTCAAATGTTTCGGGTAGCCTTCCACAAGCTTCCCACAATAAGTTGGGTGAATTTTGGCCCATTCCTCCTGACAGAGCTGATGTAACTGAGTCAGGTTTGTAGTCCTCCTTGCTCACACATACTTTTTCAGTTCTGCCCACAAATTTTCGATAGGATTGAGGTCAGGGCTTTGTGATGGCCACTCCAATACCTAGACTTTGTTGTCCTTAAGCCATTTTGCCACAACTTTGGAAGTATGCTTGGGGTCATTGTCCATTTGGAAGACCCATTTGCGACCAAGCTTTAACTTCCTGACTGATGTCTTGATGTTGCTTCAATATCCTTCCTCATGATGCCATCTATTTTGTGAAGTGCACCAGTCCCTCCTGCAGCAAAGCACCCCGACAGCATGATGCTGCCACACCCGTGCTTCACGGTTGGGATGGTGTTCTTCGGCTTGCAAGTAACCCCCTTTTTCCTCCAAACATAACGATGGTCATTATGGCCAAACAGTTATATTTTTGTTTCATCAGACCAGAGGACATTTCTCCAAAAAGTATGATCTTTGTCCCCATGTGCAGTTGCAAACCATAGTCTGGCTTTTTTATGGAGGTTTTGGAGCAGTGGCTTCTTCCTTGCTGAGCGGCCTTTCAGGTTATGTCGATATAGGACTTGTTTTACTGTGGATATAGATACTTTTGTACCTGTTTCCTCCAGCATCTTCACAAGGTCCTTTGCTGTTGTTCTGGGATTGACTTGCACTTTTCGCACCAAAGTATGTTCATCTCTAGGAGACAGAACGCGTCTCCTTCCTGAGCGGTATGACGGCTGCGTGGTCCCATGGTGTTTATACTTGCATACTATTGTTTGTACAGATGAACGTGGTACCTTCAGGCGCTTGGAAATTGCTTCCAAGGATGAACCAGACTTGTGGAGGTCAACAATTTTCTTTCTGAGGTCTTGGCTGATTTCTTTTGATTGTCCCATGATGTCAAGCAAAGAGGCACTGAGTTTAAAGGTAGGCCTTGAAATACATCCACAGGTACACCTCCAATTGACTCAAATGATGTAAATTAGGCTACCAGAAGCTTCTAAAGCCATGACATCATTTTCTGGAATTTTCCAAGCTGTTTAAAGGCACAGTCAACTTAGTGTATGTAAACTTCTGACCCACTGGAATTGTGATACAGTGAAATAATCTGTCTGTAAACAATTGTTGGAAACATTACTTGTGTCATGCACAAAGTAGATGTCCTAACCGATTTGCCAAAACTATAGTTTGTTAACAAGAAATGTTTTGGAGTGGTTGAAAAACGAGTTTTAATGACTCCAATCTAAGTGTATGTAAACTTCCGACTTCTTCAAATGTAGGTCATGTGTGTAATTCCCATGTGAGCTTTCTCTGGATTCCATTGGAAATTGTCAATAATTGTTTGTGTTTACAGGTGATAGCCAACATGAATGCGGCGTACAAACAGGAAAAGAAGAATGCCAAGAGAAGAGCTCGGAACATGCCCTCCATTACCTTCAAAGTCACAGACCCTTTGTTTGGCTCGGGTGAGTCGTCCTCCCCGAAGAAACTGAAACAGAGCATTTACCTGTCTTTCCCGGTGGAAACGGTCCTCGCCACTGAGCAAAGCAGCTCTGATGAAAAAAAGAGTGACTTGGAATACCCCCTGACGATTTCTGATGCACATTGAGGCCTGCTATGCTGGGGGTTATAGTATACAAGGAACAGAATTGAGAAGCATACAGTGACTGTATTAATGGGTCAACAAATCCTCTCGCTTCAGTGGTTTGATGGAGACATGATGTCCTCATAAGATTCTACACCTCAGAGAGAAGATTGGTGAACATGGAGTCACCGGAATCAAGAAGCCTGACCAGATATATTGATAAAAAATTATATTGAGTTGGACACATGTCCAAATACATAGGTTTTCCCAGTCAGTGCCTGTGGATTTGTGGTCTAGTCCTTGATATTGTGAGGCATGTAGGTGCTATATGCCAATTTGTTTGCCAAGAGGTGAATGAAATGAGTACGTTGTCACTATCCTATCATTTAGGATACCCCTTTCTCTAACTCTGTGTTAAAAATCTGATATGAAGTTGTATTGACATCATGGAGCAGGGTATGTGCACTTGGGGCCAGCATCAGTTTTTTTGTGGCCACTTTTTCTTCACAATCAGTTATTAATTCATAGTTCTTTGAATTTCGGCTCTGTTACATGCTTTAGAGAAGGAATTTTATTAACTGGTTAGGGTCCATGTCAAATGATGGCATTTGGTTTATTGCTGTGCATGGATTCAATATTCCCCATAGGCCAACATTCTATTGACCAGTGCAACCTTGAAGAAATGTGGATGGAAAAGCACAATAGAGTTCTAAAGTAAAAAATTATGTAATTTATTTTAAAATAAGCTAACACAAAACAAATCACCCCTTTAATCTATTGCAAAGTCTTGTTAAAGGTGCAATATACAGAAATCGCTCTACCAATTCCTGGTTGCAACAATTCTAATAGTTCACCTAATTTCAGTTTGTGACTAAACAAGCAATGTATAGTGTAGAGCAGGGTTCCCCAACTGGCGGCCGCGAGCAAAATCTGGCCTGCCAGCAATATTATCTGGCCCTCCAAATTAATTATGAATTTTTTTTCATTAAAAATAAAAACATCTCGGACTCGAGATGCAAAAACTCCCAAATGCAATGTCCCAAGAAGGAAGTTACCGTACCTAAGTAATGCAAAAGTTACATTTAAACTTCATTCATGAGGAGAGAGAATGCAGGAGACAGTCAACTAATAAAGTAGGCAGCGGACCATTTTGTGGTGCTGAAACGTAAAGCTGCAACCGCAGCACAATCAATAGGAGGTGAACAGCACCTGGTGCTGAACATATAGCTACAGATGGAGAAAACCTACACCAGTCGAGTTATTCATTTCAACAATAATCTTCATTTTAATTTGACTTTACAAACAACAAGAGTGCTTAATTTGAGTCTTTCTTCTGAGCCTAGATAAAATAACTTAACTGGTTGAGGTTGGCTATGAGGCTTAACAGCATCTTTCACAATAAAAACATATATGCCTAATAGAAGTGGGATATTTTGTATTAGGCCTACCAAAAATGTAGCATCCTACATAAAACAATCATTGAAAGAAAAAAATGGCTATATCTGTATCGGGATAGACTGCTCCTTTAGCGACAGAACAAACAGAAAATACTGTCAGCTTGAGACCTAAATATCCCTGGATAAGCACTCACAATAATGTTAGTATCTTCTAAGTCCAGTCATATAGGCCACTAGGTGACTGACTCAATGGGAAAAGTTGCATTTCCGCTAGGACACGATCTTGTGGATGTCGCGTGAGATGGGTGTGATTTTGATGCGCAGGCAGTCCTTGATTGATTTATGTGAAAGCCGGTTTCTGTCGTGAGGAAAATTAGGACTTGCAGGTGTAAGTCGATCCAAACATTGTTAGCACATAAAATGCAAGTTTCTTTATTGTTCTGTATTCCTCTGAGCGTGCCACCCAAAACGCACACAAGGATTCGGCACTCCTGAGCGCATGCCTGATTTGGCTAGATGTCTGGAATTCAATCAACTCAGTTTGAATTGCGGCCTCATCCAGCGAGGGTATCGTTTTCTTAGCAAGTGAAGAGAATTCTCCACCTGGGCGGACTGTGAGAGGATCACGTACAAACACAATGATATCCACGGGCATGCTGTAATTTCTGGTGGAGAAATTGTCCCTCAGCTGCTTGATGAAATCTTCCATGACAATGCTGCGGCTTGGTCCCTCTGCCTGTCGTTTCTTCAGTGTGCTGAAGTGCAGTAGCCTTCCAGATGACATGTCCAAATCGAACAACTCAAGCTTCCTAGTAAAGGCCTCAAGTTTTTCCACCATGTCCACGAATGTTTTCCCTCATCCTTGTAAATGGAGATTTAACCCTTTTAAGTGACAGAATATGTCAGCCAAAAAAAGCCGTGTGTGTAGCTTGCAGTTAACTCTTCAATGTTTCTGCGTCGGGCCTCTGTCTGGGGCGCGAAAGCCACTTTGAAAGTTCCATGCTTAGATTCATAATGACGTCTGAGATTGTATTCTTTGTAAACAGCGATATTTTCATTGCAAATAAGACACACTGGCTTGGCATTGGGAAAAGATGGTAAGACGAACGCATATCTCTATACATTCTTCCCTGAAACTTCGACTTTCATTATCCACCTTTCTTTTGATATTTTTTGAAAGCGCCATTTTCGCTTGCTATCAAGCTAATTGCTCTGAACGAATTTTGTAGTTTAAAAAAGTAGTGGTCTACAGTAGGCTACGTATACCTGTTTTTCCTACCAATCAACAGAGAAATAGACAAAATAATATTTGAATAGAGACATGGTGATTTTATGAGCGTAATCAGATCGAAATTATGTTATTGTCACTGAAATGTATTATGTACTAATCGGATGTGTTAAACATTTTGTTCAATTAATTGTGATTATATACACTCATTATATTCTGGGCCGCCGACTATTAGATCAGAAAACATTTGTCCCTAGGCCAAACCTAGTTGACGCACCCTGGTGTAGAGAATCATTGTACCATCTAAATCGCTTTCAAATATATTTTAAATAACCAAAAATATTGTATTTTCAGCTGTTTTGAAGCTGGTGTACAAAAACCGAAAGTAAAAGACAAAAAATGACGTTTAACCGAAAGCATAGAAATAGCGCGCATAGAATAGATCTACCGCTTCTTAGCATAGACTGTAAAATATATTTACAAAGCCATCGATGACATCGCGGCATTATTTTCTATGGGAACGCATTTTAAGACCAGAAAGTTTCGTTGATGCGCGCTATCTTGTTTCATAGTAGAGTTTTTGGAAACAAGGCATGCGCAGTTTGAGCTAGTCCAGAAAGTGACGTCACAGGCTGCGACAGTCTGAAATGACAACATTCCATCACTTGGAGTTTAGGCAAACTGCCGGTAGTTCCCATATATGTTCATAGGCCACTGCACGCAAGAGCAGTCAATGTGCCAGAGTCAGCTTTTTTGCTTGTTTTTGTCAGAGAGAGCTATTCTTTGATCCGCTTCGGTCTATGTCGCAAGCCAGCTTTATGTGCACGAGTAAAACAACTTTTCACTTTTAAAACCTGCGTGCACTACTCACACTGTGCCACCACCAGTTGGGGAGAGGCAATCATGCACCACCACATCTAGCGATACAAAAGGTAATTGTTTATTCAGATTTTGTATGAAATTGTCTGTCAACGCAATCACAACAATACATAAGAAAATGATAAGTTAGTGCATGCAGCCATTTATCAAGGTAATCTATTCATGGCTTGTGTTGGACTTATCTTCTGTTGCCCAAAACATGTCTATTAATAATACAAGCCTTTGCCCTAATAAATCAGTCAATTGCCTTGTATAACCAGCCTGGTTGTTATCGTGAGCATCATATTCAATTTAAAACCAAAAGGCTATCATTTTTTATGTGAGGATGCATAACCCAGCGCCACGTTGTATCAACTCCAGGATTCTGTAAGAGGCTCTAAACAATATGTAGCTAGCTATTGAGTGATGTCAAACCAATATAGGATGTTAGATATACTGTTTGCTGCTATGGTTTCCTGTGACTGTAAGAGGGGGGATCGGTCATCTTCTCTAACCCCTGCCAAGAGATTTCTTAGACCAGGCGTTTCAACATAAGTACAGCATGAGGTACATTATTTCTGACCAGCTATTCAAAACAATAAGTGGTGCATCAGAGTAAGAATGGGTCTTTACCTGCCCCAGGTCATTCCCCCACATGAACCAAGAGGATATGGCCCAGCCTGGGAATCCATTTGTTTGTAGAATATGGTGAGAAGGCCAGACCACCCCATCACAACCTCCCCAAACAATGACACACTTTCCTCCAACCCCAGACCCTCCCCAACGTTTCTCTGGACCTCTTTTCCCCGCGCCACACAGTACATTCGGAAAGTATTCAGACCCCTTGACTTTTTCAAATTTTTGAAAATGGATTTTAAAAATACAAAACTGAAATATCAGATTTACATAAGTATTCAGACCCTTTACTCAGTACTTTGTTGAAGCAGAGATTACAGCCTCAAGTCTTCTTGGGTTTTGGCCTACAAGCTTAGCACACCTGTATTTGGGGAGTTTCTCCCATTCTTCTCTGTAGATCCTCTCAAGCTCTGTCAGGTTGGATGGGGAACGTCGCTGAACAGCTATTTTCAGGTCTCTCCAGAGATGTTAGATTGGGTTCAAGTCCGGGCTCTTGCTGTGCCACTCAAGGACATTCAGAGACTTATCCCGAAGCCACTCCTGCGTTGTCTTGGCTGTGTGCTTAGGGTCGTTGTCCTGTTGGAAGGTGAACCTTTGCCCCAGTCTGAGGTCCTGAGCACTCTGGAGCAGGTTTTCATCAAGGATCTCTCTGTACTTTGCTCTGTTAATCTTTCCCTTGACCCTGACCAGTTCCTGCCACTGAAAAACATCCCCACAGCATGATACTGCCACCACCATGCTTCACCGTAGGGATGATTCCAGGTTTCCTCCAGATGTGACGCTTGGCATTCAGGCCAAAGAGTTCAATCTTGGTTTCATCAGACCAGATAATCTTGTTTCTCATGCTCTGAGAGTCTTTAGGTGCCTTTTGGCAAACTCCAAGCGGGCTGTCATGTGCCTTTTAC